TGTCACTTGAAAAGAGAAAATTAAATTCATATGAAATGCTTATTAAAAGTTGTCATTTGTCTTACTAAACTTGTCATTTGCAAAGGAATTGTACAAATTGTCATTTTAACGTAGAATCTTAAATTCCTATGAGTTGCTTATCAGAAGTTGTCATACACCTTACTAAACATCATTGGCAAATGACAAGTTCAATAAGACGAATGACAAATTTAGTAAGGCGAATGACAACTTATGATAAACAATTCATAAAAATTTAATTTTCTCTTTTCAAATGACAGAATTTTCATATTTCTTTAGCAGATAACAAGTTCTGATATGTAATTTATAACAAGTTGAGTAAGGCAGATGACAAGTTGTGAAAATCAATTGAAAAGAGTGGAAAGCCAAATAACAATTGTGGTAAGTGAAATTATAAGTCAGTGAGGAGGTCTGTCATGAATTTCAGAACATTAAATGGATCTATATTGATACCATTTACAACTATAAATACTAAATGTTAATATTGCTCTACCCATAAACAAAATACCAACATTTTTAGATTGTCATGCCATGTTGTTGTGATCAAACTTACCAATCTGTGGTTACAACACTACTAAATAAAATTACAACAATAGTAAGTCAAATGACAAAAAACCAGAGGTGTTTTGACAGCAACCAACAACTCTAAATCAAATGAGGAGATTATCGATTCCCACGTACTAGTAAACAAAAAGAAGACAGTATTCTCGACAATCGAACAACACTATATCAAAAACATATTTGGAAATGAAAGTCGAAAGTCATCAACTAGCATTAATGATGGGTCACCATCTTTTTTGTAACAAAGATTGGTGGAATGACCATAACCTTAATCATATTGATGAATGCATAGGTAGGAGATGAATGTTTTTGAGAGGGAGAGGAATAGAAGGAAGAAGAGAGGGAGGGAGATGAAGAGGGAGAGAAGGAAGAAAACAAAAGGAAAGAGAAAGAGATGGGGTGATGGAAGAAAGAGAATAAGGGCACTTTTGTCTTTTTAGCCTGATTTCATAATTACAATTTGAGACCGGGTCCTTCTTGATAATTTGGCTTATTTAGATGACCTTCTTGTAATTTTAATAATTCAAGGGTCTTTATTTGTCATTTTCCCTTCATTTTTCTACCCTTTTAAATCTAACGTATATCTGCGGCTAACATTTTCATTTATTTATTAATTCATTCGTTCATTTTATGGCTGGCAGGCCTTTGCACGTTTGAGTGCTGTGTATGGTGAAACTTACATGCTTAACAAACCAGATTCAAGAACTATAGAATGAATTAGGTGATCATAGGTTCCTCTCGAATATCTTGCTGTATATTTCTTTTCCAATTGATCTGTGGGTAGGCAGTCACATTTTGATGAGACAAAAGCCGTTGGTGTGACCTCTGAAGGAGAAACAGCCAGATGCAAGAAAGTTGTGCGCGATACATCATATCTGCCTGATAAGGTATCCGCTATTGGAAATGTTAATTTGATTGAATAGTGGGTCTAGAGATGAATTGCAGAGGAGTACAAGCTTACTTAAGTGTGATGTTTATCCAATTATGAATTGATCCAACAGGTCGAAAAAGTTGGAAAAGTTTCGCGTGCAATACATATTATGAGCCATCCTGTTCCATACACTAATGATTCTCGCTCAGCACGGGTCATTCTGCCCCAGAAGCAACTTGGTCGTAGATCAGACATGTAAGTTTGCTTGATCTACTTTCGTAGTACTCAAATTCTTCAATACCGCGAGAGGTTAATAGATATTAACATGAGGAGAATTTGATTAAAGGAAGAGTTTTGCCTCTTGATGTGCAATGAAAGCATCAGATCACCATGCCCTATATTTCTTAAGTACCGAAAATTCACTTGTGGTAATAGATCACTACAATTATTTGACTTACCAAGATAGTCTATAAAAGATAAACTTGCAATTTAAGTTCCCATTATTCCAGTCCTTGTCACCTATACTGTAAATGTTGAAGGTGGAAAACAGATTTTGGGCTCTCTAGTCTAGTGTGAAGCCAAGTTAAATATGCTATCTCCAAATTTCCTATATCAAAGATCCCTGCCTATGTCTTGGACTTGGTCTTTATGATAAATGACAGTATAGTGCGGCAACTTTAGTTTCCTACTTTTAATTTCAACTACTATCTTCGATTTTTAATATAAGAGTTAGTTTGACTTTTAATTTAATTCTAAATATAAGGCCCCAATCCACTTTGTTTCTCATATTTATCCTTTTTTTTCAAAATAATCCTTGTAGTAATTGTACTGTTAAATGTTCAATCAAATGATAGTTTTAACTAATACATAATTAGTAAGAGTATTTTAGAGAAGACAATACCTAATTATTAGAAATAACTAACTCAACAAATTTTTTTAATTTACTCAAACTAGTCAAACAGTCAATTAATTCTTATATTAAGAAGAGAAAGTAATATTTATGTTTTGTTCTCTGATTACCTGTATTATGGCAGGTATCTCTTCTGCTGCTCCTACACTCACAATGTAGCAGCAAAAGGAAAATATATTGCCTTTATTACTCCAGAAGCAGAGACTGACCAACCTGAGGTAGAGTTGAATGATGCTACCACGCCCTTCGAGACAACAGTAAGGGATGTGATTGCCATGTACAGTAAAATCACTGGCAAGGTAAATTTTCCTTCCTTTAGAAAACAAGATATGTATCTTATGTATTGCCATGTACAGTAAAATCACTGGCAAGGTAAATTTTCCTTCCATCAGAAAACAAGATATGTATCTTACGTATCCAAAAATGGAGTTGTACTTTTAACTGCGATGTGTTTAAGATTTTACGTTATTGATTAATTGTTTATATCTTATTTAATATACTAATAATAACAATGATAAAAATGTGCGTAACAACCAAAACTTTATAGGTTGTAAAACTTTGAAAGTAGACATGCATATCAGTACTTCTAATCTTTTCTAGAAAATGTGAGACATGACTAATGCATTATACTAGAACAACTTAGAGTTTATCTTATTTTGATCCTAAATATAATATCTTAATTTATTTCGCCTTCCAAATTTATAATTTGTTTTGTTTGCAAACTATCTATATTGATCACACATCTTAAGGGAGTTTTCATCAAGAGGTAATTTCAATGTAAGTGATCAAATAGGGTATTTTAAGAATATAAACATATATTTTAATATATAACTTTCTATATATATATATGCAAATTAGTTATTTAATTTCTATATTAAGGACCAAATGGGGTAGTATAATTATTTTCTCATGCATTAGTTAATGCACTATATCAGAATATCAAACTAAAAGGCAAAAGCACGATTTAGCTTTAGCCCTTTAAATCATGAATATCTCTTGATTAAAGATTGATTCTTATTGCGGATTTCAGGTTCTTGATCTTTCCGTGGACCTGAGTGCTGCAACTGCTGATGCTGAGGAATGAAATTGCTTAGATATGTATTAAAGCACGACCAAGTATCAGATGGAATGCTTCATCTTTGTTTCATTTTATGTTGGTTATTAGATACTTAATTGGGAAGAGAAAGCTCACATTTATAATGGACAAATTGATATGTATGCCCCATAAATTTTTTGCTTGTTTTACTCAGCCAAGCTGGCTAGGTTAGTAGTCAGGCCCTTCTATTCGAAATCCAGTTTTCATATTTTTCACGATCATGATCTTTCTTCTTAAATGAAAAAAACATAGCAAGAGATTATCATGATTTTTATGAGAACCGGACTGCTGTCAATCAGATAACGATTGAACTCTAATTAAGTTTGGTTAGCAAATACTACCTCCACTTCTAATTATAAGAGCTAGTTAATTAATTTGAGGAAATTAAAGAAGTAAGTCGAGTTAGTTATTTGTCCTAAATAGGTGTTATCTTTCCTAAAATATCTTTGCTAATCAAGTGTATTGGTTAGAACTATTATTGTTAGAAGGACTACTTTAGACAAAAAATGTATAAATATGAGAGACAAAATGGATTGGGGTTTTATATTTAAGACAAAAATAAAAGTCAAACAGGGTCTTATATTAAGGATTGGAAGTAATATATGGTAAGGGTGAGGTAGAAGTTGTTGTATCCTTGTGTTAGTGTGTAAAAAATGAAGTTTTATATTGCTGAAGGGAGAGGAAGCTCAAGTGTCTATATATCGTTTTAAGACTTGCTTGCATTTTTTTATTTTTAGTGTTTATAAGCACATTCATATAAGCCTAAAGTCCCAAACAAAACTTTTTACATATATTTATCTCGTATTCTGTATAATATCAAAAGTTAGATATTATAACCAAATGTTCACATATCATTTTTAAAGATGTTCAAAAACTAAAGATAATTTTTAGAAAATAATCCCTATCAATTTTTAGTAAATAAACTTTCAAAGACATTACAAGTCAATTTTCCGAAGTAGAAAATATTACCTGAACAAATTTCTCTGGAAGCTAGTTCTACAAAAAGACTTTTGACTTCCTGATAATTCAAAACTTTTCCAAAAGATAGAGCCACCTCTTCATAAATAACTTATACCAATTTTTATGATAATAAGGGCTTGTTTGCATTTATATTTATTAAGTGTTTATAAATATTTTTTTAAATAAGTCCTTAATAAATACTCATCCAGTTCTTAATACAGGATCCAATTATTAAGTTAGTTTTGGTCTTAAATATAAGACCCATTTCTTATATTTATTAATTTTCTCTAAATTACTCTTATGAATACTCCCTCAGCCATAATCAAGTAGAAGAAGAAGATGAGGTATTAGGAAATATGATTATGATATTTTAGGAAAAATATGTCACATTTCTTATAATTAACTAACTTATCTAACTTTTTTAATGTAATTAAATTAGTTAAATAGGTCTTATATTAAGAATAGAGGAGTATTTTATTTTGACCTTCGTTTTCTAGACTAATTTATTTGTTATTTATTCTTTTCCCCCCACAATAACCTCGCGCGCATGTATTCCATCTTAAATACAATGCTTATTGGGGAAGGAAAAAGAAGAGTGGGCGAGAAGGAGCCTGACTCTCGTCCTGGCTCGACGTGATGTTGTGAACAAGTGAGCGTTTGACTCTAAGCGGACCTGTGACATCAATTTTCATCGCCGAGTCTCGATGTGCCAAATCTATAAATGGTCGTTCTAACACAACGAGAACACAAATTAATCAATCCCCGGGGCCAGAAGGCACGTTTTGTCCTCTGAAAATTCTATCAAGTTTCTCTGTTAACTCGGACTCACTCCATGACCCCGCCTAGAAGGTCCTCGTCTTCTTCTGCTTCTGCTACTGCAGCATCCTCAACTGAGAAATTCAATGTTTTCGAATTCAACGAAGAGGATGCGCGCGTCGAGATGGCTTCCGAGCGTTTTTTGGGCAAGTTTGTGAACCCTAAGAAGAATCGCGGTTCCCCTCTTACCAAGTATACGTTCCTTCAAGTTTGTAAGTGTCTTTACTGATTCTTACACTATACTTATGTTTAATGATTTTTTGCGGGAAAATGGCTTGATCGCTTGTTGTATGTTGGGTTTGTCTGAGGTATACATGCTATGATGATGTACAGAAGTGGGAAAATAGCGGGGGAAGGGAGGAGTCTTTTGAAAGCTGAAAGTCACTTGAGCTAAATATTGCAATTTGGCTTTCAATTTACCTGAAGTGTTGGTGGGGAAAATTTGGTTTGCAATTGTGTTACGGAGGAAATGCAGAAGTGGGGTGACATTAAAAAGATGAGTAAATACAGTGCTGATTCTCGATCGGTTGATAATATAGTCAACTTTAATTTGTTTGTTACAATGTGGTTCAGCGACCAAAGTGAAGTTATTCTTATGGTTAATGACATGTGAGAGAATTAACGAAGCTCGATTTGAAATTTTCACATCTACCAATTGTGAGGGTTAGTAAATTTTAACTGGTGACTTTGTTGGTTTAATCTTTTTTCCCTTGCTTGTGTTGCAGTTTTTAGGGTAATTTTTTTTGCCGACAATTTTCAGGGTAACTAAACTGATATTAATCACATGATATTGTAATTCTTTAAAATTCCCCCCCCCCCAAAAAAAAAAAAAATCTTAATTTCTAAATATTATTATTTACCAATTCAGTGTATTGTTACTTGGATTTTATAGGAAGCTCTAGAAGGGGTGATTTATTGTAGAGAGAAACTTGAATTTGTTCTTGATAATTAACTGGTGAAGGAAAACATTGAAGTAAAACAAAGAGAATGAGATGTAGAGCCAGATTTAGGGATCATGCATAACATGTGTGTATACTCATTACTGATACTATGAGTATGACTAATCTGCTCTCTTGAAAATGTCCAAAGTGCTAGTACTTCATTCCATACGCCTTTTCAATGTTTTGCAGCATGTTTGGAAATAGTTTCAGTTTCCTAATCATATGTTCCCAACATCCAACAATTTGTTGGATCTTGGGAATGGATGTTTGGAGTCATAGGAAATGGAAGTTTTGGGACACCAAAACTGTTTCCCAAACACGCACTAAAACATGGACTGAATATAATAACCACTAAAGAAATGTGGCAATGGTTAAAGAAGCCAGGAATGGGATGAAAACAATTTTTAATGAGGTTAAAATAGAATGTAAATACTTTTTATGCCCTGTGCTTGCCTATCATTTCTGTTGCCTTGCTTATGCTTTTAGGCTATGTTTGGATCAATGTTTAGAAGCCTAAAACATCGTTTGAAATCTAAAAATCAGCACCCAAACAATTTGGAACCAAACAAGACACGATCTTCAGTAAACTACGTTCTTCCTCAAACCAGTGTTCAAGTAGAAGTTATTGAGACCTGATTCAGCGTTACGTTCCATTAAAAAATGAGTTGATTATGCATTTAATGTGTGTTTTAAAAATTTCAACAATCCTTTACCCTTATCCCTTTGTGTTATCTATCTGCTTTGATCGGTTTTCTGGTTCTCTTTGTGATACCTAGAAAATAGAAGATAAAGGAAAACTAAGATAATTTTCAACCAAGACAGTGAGTAATTATCTGCTGACCCTACGTATAGAGATATTTACTAAATTCCCAAACCAGGCCGTTTCTGAACGGGTTACCAACGCGGAATATAATTACCTAATTAAACCCTAATTCCCCATATAACACTCTACTTTCTCCCTTCTTGCCTGTTTTCTTCTGAGCTCAGCATTTCTGGCTGTTGATACGTTGTTGGATTTGTACGTCATTTGTGTGCTTCATCTGTTTTCTTCTGTCTTAAACAAATGGTCACTGTCTGTTGCAAATTGTGGGTTGGTCGGCAGATCCTCTGATTGCAGAATGTGCTTGCACTGGTCTTTGTGCTTTGGTCTATGTGTGTATCTTTCTCTGCTTACTGTTTCCTTCTCTGCGTTTGACTTATTAGTTTTCTTTATTTGTGCTCAATTTGCTATTTCTCTATTGCAGAATTTTCCGGGTTTGACTTGTATGATTTGAAACAATAAAGCTGTATTGAAATTCCTCTCTTGTCTTGTTTCTTCTTTAGGGTCGCTTATGATGATTGTAAGAATTATGCTTGATCCGTATCTTAACCTGACTAGGTTTGCCTGCTGAACCTCATTCGCATTCTAATCATGCATAACGTGAATAGAAAGTTATCATGAGTTTCTAGGAGGTCAGAATTTTGCTTTGCAGTTCATGCTACTGGCTAACTTTATGCATCAAGTTGGCTGAGTGGAATTCACCAATTCAGTTTGGCCATTAATTATCTACCTTGCCACAGTGTGAGAATGACATTTGTTCTTGATATCATCATTTTCATCAGATGAAACATTTAGGGATTGTGTTAATATAGTTTCGTACTGCAAGTTATGCTGATTGAAATTGTTATTGGAATGATGATGGCCCTGCTATTTACCATTTATTAGCATATTCCTAAATTTGAGAAATTGAGTCAGGAAAACTTGTTTTTTCGGGCTGCATTTCCGCAGCTCCACAATCATAATTTTGTAGTATCATGAAAATAAAGTTGTGTCATAAATTTTAGTAATATGCTTGATTAGGGGACTGCTAATCTAGCTACTCTATATCCCCAGCTGCTGCCAAACATGCATGGTTGCGAGACCTGCTGCTGTACAGGAGGGAGAATGACAATTAGGATGCATTATATTGTTGTGTAATCATAGTTTTGCAAACACTAATCTTAGCACATACTTAGTTGCACTTTGTGTTGGTTCCCCTTGTTGTTGCAAATAGAATGTAAACGATTTCTTTGCTCTTTGCTTGCTTATAATTGCTGTGTTCTTCTTTTAGTTGCATTATATGTTGCTTCTTGTTGCAACTTTTATACTATATAAAGTATTATCTGTTTTACTATCTTTTTGCTTCTGATTGTTGGTAATATGCAGTTGCACAAGGCCCCAAAAGCCTGCATAAGAATATTGGCAGTGATCCAATTGATGTTGATGCCGAAGGTACAAGTCATTCTTGCAAAAAGTGTATCATTATTTTTAAATGTGGTTGATGGGTTCCGTTTTTTACTGAAAACAGCACATGAAATTACCCAAGAACTGAATTCTTCACTGGAGGACACTAGAAGGAAACCATCAGAGGCTGGGAATTGTGGTATGGACCATAAAAAGGGGCTCGCCAATCCATGCTCAGTTGATGTATCACTACAAGATAATACTGCAAAAGAGATGTCTAGTTTTGATGGTTTTCAGAAAAGCAACTTTGAATTTGGAGTAATTTCTTGTCCATCTTAATTTTGTTGTCTCTCCTACTCATCCTTTTTTAGAAGAAAATCATACATGCTTTTTGTGACCATATTTAATTTATTTGTTTTCCAGAATGAGTCACATGATTTAGTTTGCAATGATGATATCAGTAGTCAAACGAGTGCTTCATCAACTTCAACTTCAACTTCAACTTCAATGGCACCTTCGGAAGACATTGAAGGTATGTTTATATGGTCTAAAGTTTGTCTAATTAACATGAGAATTATTATTTCATTGATGATGAGTGAACAGTCTCCCTTATTCTGTTCTTGTTTGATGCTATCTGACTATCAACTCTAAATCTTGTGATTTCAGTTTCCTTTGGAGACAAGTTAATGGATCAGAGTTCTGCAGCTTTTGAAATTGTAAGAGTACTTCTCATCCATCTTTGATTTATTAAAATTTTGGTTTTATAATGGACTACAAGTTTTTCCCAAGTTTCTATAACTTGTTTGAGGGCACCTGTATGTTTTTGCTTGAGGGCAAAGAGAAAATTAAGAAGCTGAAACTGGCTTAGGGTCACTGTTTTGGATAACAAGGGAGGGGGGAGTAAAGAACTCAGGTGGAGAAAGCATAACATGCTATAAAATAACATAATATAACACGTATAATATAATAAATTTTGTAGAGCCCAATGGAATGCAAATATAACAAGATACAATGTTAACTAGATTTGAAGATGATTTATTTTGCATATATTTGGCTGGCCTTTTTGAATGCAAATAGGGTTTCCTAATGGTAAAAAAGTGATATGGATTATCCACAGTTTTTTGAACCTTTAGGTAAAGTATAGTTAGTAAGTTTTTACTTAATCAAATTTGCTTAAGTAAACAATTATTGCACGTTTAATGGTTGGCATTCAATTTTTATTTAATTTATGCTTTAAAGGGAAGTATTATAGTATTGTTTTAAACAAAGCGAAGTATTTATGCATAATTTTAGCCATGGAAACATTGGAGAAATAGATCATTGTCAATTTTTGCTTCAATGCTTTCTTTGCTTGTGTTGGTTAGATATTTCTCATTCACTGTTGTAGCTTCTTTCCTTTGCAGAATGGCAAGAAAAAGGTCGTTGATGTCTTCCCCGATTTTATTCTATATGGGGATATATATTCGACCAGCTCTCGCTTAACATTTTCTTGCAGCTTTGTGAAACTTGAAGGCTCAACTGTCAATGGAAGTGGAGGAACTTTTAAATTTGAATGGTCAATTGACAATGTCATAAAAATCGAGTCCTGTTGGTGTGAACAGGCAAGTTACATCCTTTTTTCTCTTTACCTGTTGGACAGGATGGAACTTGAGGGAATTCTTTTTTCTTTTTTTTTTCTTTTGGGTGCCCGGAGGGGAGGGAGGATTTGAAAATAGTTAACCTTAGGACTAGCAATATCTATTTCCTGAAAATTAGTGAGGAAGTATAGAGAAAATTTGAAAGTAAGCCTAATTTATACCAATTTCAATGTCATCTTTCTGTAAATATCATCCTGATAGTAATCCACGGGTGCCCCTGGACCCTGCAGCTCACTTCTGGGCAATGTGCAGCTTTTGCTTTTTTCATTTTTTTTTTAAATGCTAAATTTGGAGAGGAATTGTCTCATTTTAAAGGGAGTTTCCGTCTCTTCAATTGTTGAAACAGTGCTTAAGTCATCTTTTCATTTGACTTACGCCTTATGGTCTCTTCAAGTGGTCGTCTCTTTTGCGTTACAGTGGTAGAATGACTACTTTTCTTCATATTTTTTCTTTCTGCTTTTCTATTTTGCACTGTATTTCACTTCTCACTATTAGAAAGATATATTAGCATCCTCCCAAGTATTATTCGTTCTTCCAAGTAAATTTTCTTTCCTTGGGGGGGAAAAGTTGTAGGTCAATATTTGATCTCAATAATTCTGTCACGTCATTTATTTTATAGATATCCAAACAGAGTTAAAGATAATTACTTTCTGTCTCTTCAATTTTATTCTTGCCGTTTTTGTTGACCTCTATTTCTTCCCCTCCTCATTTTGCTTTCAAACCAAAGGCATCGCGCCCATTTGAATTTCTGCTTTCTGTAGGTTGAAACAGCCATGATCAACCTTTTCCTTGCATCAGAAGATTCTAGAGAAGCTGGAAATACAAATCATAACCAAGGTTTTACTTCTTTTAAAATAGTGTCATTTATGTTTCCTTTTTCTTCCCTGTTGTGTAGACCTGGTTATTGTTCTCGAGGCACTCTTCTGATATGTATTGTTTAATTTCATATGCTGTTTTGCATGTCTTAACTGTGTAGTATTTTTTATTTAAGGAGGATATTTTATAGAATGAGCTACTGCTACGGCTGGGTGCTCCTTGTATCTTTTGAAGCTAAACTTTCTTTTCTTTTCTTTTTTTTTTTAATAGTGGTTTTAGATCCATTATTTCCCTTGTTGTATTATATTTATAATTAAGACTAACTGGTATAGATCTACTGTGAGTTTTTGCTAAAATGCACAAGCCTTCGTTCTACTTTTAAAAATACATAGATCTCTCTTGAAATGAAAGATGTCTCATTTCTGTTGATAAAAAGTAAATGTGTTTTAGTTCAATTTAAAATTGTTGGACAAAATAGCCTTAATTAAACCTAAATACATATTTCTTTAACCAAGAAAATTTTAGATGAAGGTTATTTTTTGTCAGAAAATTTAAAATTTTGACTGAAGTGAAAGAATTTTTTTTCCTCAAGGGTTGCCTATATATATTTTAGAAATAGAGGTGGGGTCTATGTAATTTTAACCAAATTCAGATGCTTGTGTGATTTACTCTTAATTAAAAATGAAGTTTTCTTTTTATCTCCCGTAATCTGGAAACATAGATCGCTGGTTGTATGTTGTTTTTGTTTTGATCATCTCCTATTTGAGGGCAAAGAAACAGTTCTACAAACTGCTGTACCTTATGTGAAAACTATCAGTTGCCAGTTTATCATCTGGTCCCTTTTGTTTAATTCATGCAGGATTCAAGGAGCTGAGACTTGCAGTTTATGATCCATACTGGTCTAAAGCAGAAGAGGCAGTAAAATTATTGGATGTGAGATATACTGCTCTATGGACTGATATTTTTGAGTAAGTATTTTATTGCCTAACTTGCTGGTGATGAAGTACTTTTCAATTCTTAGTGCTTTGATGATTGCTTCCAAAGCCCATCTTTTACCTTTTTGGGTGAAGTTCTAAAAGAGCCCATTAATATATCAAGCCACTTTGATTTATCTAAGTTACTATGACTTAACAGCACGGTAATATGTTAGTTCTACGGATTTTATGTCTGCATATACCATGTGATTGGCATATCACATCGTGAAATTTATTTCTTTTGATGGGATGGATTAGCTTCTGATGGCTATTAATCCACTGCTGCTACCAAAACTCACGGACGGAAACATAATGGAGTGGCAAAAGGTAAAGAAAGAGGAGGGTGGGGGATCATTGATCCTGAAGAAATCACAAAGGTTGAAAATCTGATAAGACAGAAAACTAGAGGAGTAAAAGAAGGTAGTCATGACGAAGAGGCAGGAGGGAGTAGTTAAAGAGGTATTGACAGTGGCATATAGAGAGAAAAGCTGAGGAGGAATGGGGAGAAGAATTTTGGTCAGATTTTGTTATGTAAGTGTTGATAGAGCATAATGGCATCGATCCATGTGGTCGACCTCACTTGGTGGGATAAGGCTTCTTGTTGTTGTTGTTGTTTTTATGTAAGTATTATTAGTAGTTGGGTTCAGTTGTGGTTTTACTTATTCAGTGAGCCATAGGGGATTATTAATAATTGGGCTTATTAAGTCTATTAGGCGTTAAGGGTAGTTAGGTAATTAGATAGGATTAGTTAGTAAATCTTAATATGCTACGTCTTTTGGCTGTCTATGTATATTGAACAGGGTAGCCTATTGTCACCATTTTTGATTGTTGATGAATGAATATTCAGTGTGAATTTCTTCCTTTCTCTCCTCTGACTCTATCTCTCTCTTTCCCCTTCTTTCTCTACCTCTGTTCTTCTAACCTCTAAGAATTCTACAATACCAATGAAGAGAGTCAACCTCTCTAAAGACAACAACTTCTTTGTTCTTGAAGGGGCTTGTGTTGTATTATTTGAATGTTTCTAGTGAGTGTCTGTCTAGTAAGGTATTTGGAGTCCTCTCTTTCACCTTCATTGCTAGTATTCTGCACTGTTAGCCACATCTTCCCCCTCAACGTCATTTGTACCATATGTGGTGGTGTGTTTTAGTGTTTGATGGCAGGAGTATCTCAATACTTTTGTGTGTTACTGTGTGCAGGTATGAATTAGTGTACTGCACTTTTAACCGGTATTAAATTTTCAGCTTTTCCTTTCACACTCTTGTGTAAATCTATTCCTGTATGTCGTCGTTCTGTGGTCTGTTCTGGAAGCAATTGTTGGGGTTATATCATCTTTAGTTCTTTTCTGCTTAATTTTTGAGTAATTTTTTGTCCTCATTTTGCCTTTATTCAATAAACTCACTTAATTGCATGAGAAGGAGGTTGCTTAATCTTGTTTGTTTGTTTGTATGCATGCAGCTTTGGTGCAGATAATGGAAAAAAATTTCAATTTGGCCAGAACAGCCATGTTTCTCAGATGCCTCATTTTCCCATGTAAGTCAATTGAGCATTTATGCTTGCGTAGTCATGTTACTGTCGAAGTATGATCTATGTTATTAATTGCATTGGTGTGTATGCTGCACTTAAGAGTTTTGATACTGATTGACCCAAAAAAAGTGTTTTGATACTTACTTAATCAGTGTTATCTTTGAGATCTGTTGTGTTGGATGCATTTCATCCAAAGCGTAATTTTCTCAAACCATTTTAGGAGTACAAAAATGTGTTCTGTTTCTCAAATCATTCTGGATGCGTTGCTGGATTCATGTGCATGTGTAATTACGAATCATTCATGGACATGCACCTAATAGCTTGAGTTTTTGGGATGTTTGTTCGTGACTGTATTTTGAATCTAACCATTAAGATTGTAAGTTTGTTCTTTCTATCTGTGTTATTCTATGACTTTGACAATTATAGTCTTTTGGCTGCCATGTTTGTTTTTGGCCAACCTGTTCTCGGTAAATTTTATCAGTATAATATAAATTATTTGAAGAAATTTCTTATTGGTGTAATATCATGATTTGCAGTTTTGACGAGACTTTTCATGAGATTATTTATCCCAAGGGCGATCCTGATGCTGTTTCTATTAGTAAGAGAGATGTTGAGCTTCTGCAGCCAGAGACATTCATCAATGATAATATCATTGATTTTTATATCAAGTAAGCTGGAAAGCAGAAGTTATATCTCTCTCTCTCTCTCTATATATATATATATATATATTTTTTTTTTTTTTCCCCCCTTGACTTCAGTTATGTTGTTATAATATTTTTTTAACTATGGAGAAAGTCCTATTTATAATTTCTCTCTCACACATACATACAAGTCTAGGTGGTCTGGCTCCCCATTGTTTTTTCAAATAATAGAATAACTCTTTAAATGTAGACAGACCTTTTCATTTTACACTCATAGGAACTAATTTATGCTGAATCTGTCATATTTATAGGTATTTGAAAAATAAAATCCCTCCCAATGAACAGAGCAGGTTTCACTTTTTCAATTGCTTTTTCTTTCGGAAGCTTGCTGACTTAGACAAAGATCCTTCAAATGCTTGTGATGCCAAGGCAGCATTTCAACGTGTACGGAAATGGACAAGGAAAGTGAACCTTTTTGAAAAGGATTATATTTTTGTTCCTATAAACTATAGGTGGGAAACTAACTAAGCTTATCTTGATTATTTGTTGGGATTACGCTGTATTCTGATTAAAAAACAATAATTGATGTATCTTGCTGCTGGCAGCCTTCACTGGAGTTTGATTGTTATCTGTCATCCTGGTGAAGTTGCATGCTTCGAGGGCAAGATCCTTCCCCTTTGAGTTGATTTTCTTATGGTTTATTTGGGCATTACCCAATATTGAATTTATTTGATTCTCTTGCAGATGAAGAAATTAAAGAATCTTCCAAGGTACCTTGCATCTTGCACATGGATTCCTTAAGAGGGAGTCACAAAGGTCTCAAAAATGTGATCCAAAGGTATCTTCCTGTTTGCTCAGATTTTGAGTATAAAAGGTCTTGAAGTCCAAATGCGAATAGGATTGGATATGATCTACACAAAATAGATAAAATAGATGTAGGGTGTCTTTTGAAGTCGAAATGCTTTTCTTCCTCTTTCTCTCTCTTTTTTCTATCTTTCTTTTCCTTTTTCCCCCTTTTGGAAAAGGCTGGGGGAAGGGCATAGAAGACAGCGCGTTGAAAAAAAGGGAAGCAAACCATTACATAGGATGTGTAAAATAAATTTATTTTGAATTATAGTAAAAAGAAATCGTTATGGCTAATTATGGGTGCTTTTCTTTATATCTTATGACAGTTACCTGTGTGAAGAATGGAAAGAGAGGCACCGTGATGTGGTGGACGATGTTTCTTCAAAATTCTTACATTTGCGATTTGTCTCGCTAGATGTACTCTCAGTCTCACCTTTTTGCCATCTAAATATATGGAATATAAATAAAACTTCTAAATTTTTTCTTTTTTCTCCACATTATATCAGCTTCCACAGCAGGAAAACTTATATGACTGCGGTCTCTTTCTGCTCCATTATATGGAACGTTTTCTTAATGAAGCTCCCATCAACTTTAACCCTTTTAATATTACAAAGTTCTCCGACTTGGTGAGTGACTTCCCTCTGCATAAACACCTGTATTTCCCCCACCTTTGTACCTGACTTGTAACTTTAACTACAAGATGGTGACTTTTGATAGATGCATTAAAAGCTGACTTGGATATTGAGTCACAGATAATGTTATTTATTTCTATTCTTTTTTTTTTTTTTTTGGGGCCCCTGTTGAAGAGCAAGTGGTTCCCTCCAGTGGAGGCTTCTCTGAAACGATCTCAAATTCAGAAGCTAATTTATGATATCTTCCAAGATAATTCTCCTAAAGTTCTCCCAACTGATTGCGTTGGCAAAAGTTCTCACTCAGAGGACAAAATGGAAGCAGATAATTTTGGTGGGAGTTGTCATTCAGCAGCATGGGAAGGGAATTATTTCTGTTCTGCTAAACAGGAGATAAATGTTCAGTTCCCTGTAGCCTCCCCTACTAGAGTCGTATCAAGTTGTAGAGAGACCGGAATTGTTTTCAAGGACTTGCGTGGAACAGTTGGAGGTTCATCTTCTGCAAATTGTCAGCAGGTGTTAGCCTGTCATAAGAGGGGCTTCATGTCACCAATCGAGGTAATGAATTTAAAATATTTAACTAGCATTCCGATCCATGAAATATTTTAATATGAAATGTCTATTCATACGGTGGTTGTAAATTCAGATCAAGCATATTTATGGCTCAACAAACAACAGTGATTGGTCCAAACTATTGGCTCTTAGTAGAGGGACCAATTAACTTTATTTTTATAATTTATACGACTTAGTCATTTCCTGGTTCAAGATATTTTGGACAGCTGCATAAATGGAAGATTTAGTGTTTCTTTGAACCTAAAAAACTGAGTATACTAGGCTGTTGCATTGTTTTCAAAGCTCTCTGACATTGGTGTGCCATATATATTGTTTTGTAAAGAAGAGAAAAGAAAGGGAGAAATTAGTTGTACGCATATTGATCTCAGCATAGATCATATAATTATGACGCATTACTACTTGAACTCATGCCTTTTATAGAACAATGTTGATCGGCCAACTTCAGATTCAGATTGAATATATTTTCCTTGAGAGCAGGAAATTGAAGAGGCTGATGAAGAAACCACAGTATCACCGTTATCAATGGAAGATTCTCAAGTTGCAGGATTGGCATCAGACTTCCCGTCCACATCATATTGCAGATCATCAGAAGCACCATTGCAGGGATTCTCCATGAACCTCAAAAACGCTACTGAGGGACATTCATATTCAAGAATATCTGCTGGTGCATCCTGGAATACATTTGAGACAGAAACTCAAGAAAACTGCCCTCAAGAGAAAATTGAAGGGTCCAAACTTTCAGACGAGAGTAACATGCTTGGGCATTGTTCTTCAATTTCCAGCGAGGAACTTGCACACTGTGTTGTTCAGGATTCTCAAGAGGCAAACCACATGGATGATGATATAGTTGCAAGTGTAAAACCTCCGTCTTTGGAAGGGAATGGTAATCCAGTAACTAAAAAATTTGACTGGTATGAGACCATCAATCTGGAAGATGATGATTCAGTTTGCAAGAAGGAACCACCAGCATCTGAGTCTGATGAACGTGATGCCAAAAGGAGAAGGCTTGTGGACACTGAAGGTGAAAAACGGATCACAAGAAGCCTGCTTGAAGAATCTTGCTTAATGTCATTGTGAATAATGTTAAAAGCAGTTTTTTTCTTCCTTCTTTTTTTGTGGGTTTTGGTTGTACAAAATTGTTCATATGTCAAGGTGGGAATCTCTTGCTCCACACCCCCCCCCAAAAAAAAAAAAAAAAGACAAAAAAGAGTAGAGACCCTGATCCTGATTGCACAGAGAATGGGAAAAAGAGGAATGGAGGAGATTAAAGGGCTTTTTGTCATATTAGCTTGTCCATGATTAGCAGTACATAACAGTCTTTTATTTTCTCCTAATACAATCCAAGGCTAGTCATTACAGTCGAGCATATACATCAGGATTAAGATTCATGCTTGGCAGTTTTTCCCCTTTGAAAAACTGCATCTTAAAAATGAGAAAGGGGAGGAGTGAAAATATGTTTGTTTTTCCCTTAAAATACTCTTCAGTTATTTATTTTTTTTAATTTCATTTTATAATCACATGTATTTTGCTGTCCCATGATGATTACTTTTAACAGCATGATGAGGCGTCATTTTGTGCGAATAATAGATTTTATATTGATGGTGACTTTGATCATTTTAAGGTTTCATCCATCGAAGTTTGTTGCAGATAAAATTAGGTGTGGTGTTATCAAAAAAAAAAAAAAAGATGTGAATAATAGAGCTTCATAATTCATAATTCCTCTGGCCAGAAGCTTACTTTGCGTGTATTTTTTTCCCTTAATTATTATTCAATCATTTAAAATAATAATGACCTGATTTCAGTATTTTTTAACTGTTTCATATTCAAACTTTTATGTTATATATCCTATGAGTATTATACTGAAAAAAATATACTCCTCTGTCCTAGTTATAGTGTAAATATTACAAATCAGGCCCCAGATTTAGAACAGGAGGGGTTAAAAAAAAAATAGTAGCTAATAAAAAAATGCAGAAAGAAGTTATGACACATTTAAAATAAGGATAAGAATAAATGTAATAAACATTAAGTGACCAAAACCAAATCGTTTAAAAGATTGGTTTTAATAGAACTTTTAAAACTAGTAGAAGTTAAGATTAGTAGGAATTAATAGAAATGACTAAACTCTCATAATATAACAAGCCAAATTTCAATAAGAGGAGATACTCATGACAGGGCGTGCTTAATGAAAACATTAGCTTAAATGGTAATAAACTAATAATACAACCAATTAACATGAGTAACTCAAAGGACAAAAATGACTTTTTCTTTTGGTCAATAAAGAGAAGTTGTTTCGTTGGCGGAAAAAAGTAGCTAGAGCTGAGCGGGCGGTAAACAGATAGCCTCAGGTGTTGGAAGAGGACTGAGGAGCCTGTTGTTCACAAGTCACGCCCACGGCCACGCACTCCTTTCCTCACTTCCAGCGCTCTCTCTCGCCGGCGAATATCTCAGGTGCGTTGCCGGTCACAGTTTCATCTTCATGTAAGGAGTTTCACTATTTGGCACATTCTCAGGCGATGTTTATTCCTTGAATCCCCCTCTTGCCTTCTTTCTCGGTCTCTCGGGTCGTGTTTTCGCCTTCATTTGTCTTGCTGGTATTGTTCATCACTTTGTTGTTTAATTTCTAATTCTCAATTTTTTTTACGGAGGTTAGCAGTTCTTGCTCGCCATTCACTTGTTATTCCCACTATTGATTTCTCCTTCATTTCCTTGATTGTTTGTCGTAGTGATATTCAAGGTTACTTAAAATTGAGAAATGGGTTCAGTTGGACTATAAGATGTATTATTCTTTGTTTTTGTCTTTTTTTTTCCAAAAAAAGGCTGAGTATGATAAAGAGATTGGCGAAACTTAATTGCTGTCGAGATTTCAGTGAATCTGTTGTACCATATGGACTTCAGCCATTTTATTATTGTGTTAGCAAGCATGCTAAGTTATAGTCTTTGGTAGGTCTTTTCTTGAAGTCTCAGCTATCTTCTTTTTCTTGTGACAGACCGTGATTGTCCACACTACTCATATATCAAATTTCAAACTCTTTCGGCTTTCTGCTGCCTCCAGTCACTTCTTAGGTATGCTCTCTTTAGAATTTGGCGGGTAACTTGACCTCATAATTTTTTTTCAATGACAATGATGATCTTGATCACCGGCTGAACTGTTCTCCTTTTGCCTTATCCCTTCCCATGCTCCACTAGCTAGCTTCCATTATTCATGCTAGCATTTCATTTCCTAGGGACTCAGGATTTTTCTCGTGAATCTCTGTATTTGAGTTTGAACTATTAGACATTCAACATTGTTTGGGTGTCGATGCTTCTAAATTTTAAGCCATCTGTTTCAATTATACAATAGTCACCTAAAAGGACAATTAATTGAAGTCTCATGTTGGATCAAGATTCTCTGAGGTGAGAAGATCACATGACCCTGTCATTTGAGTTGCAATCCACATTTAATTTATTAAGAGTGAATCATGGGTTTTATCGAAAGAGAGAGTAAACAGTAGAATGATGCTACATCATATCACATAACAGATAAAATATCCAAAACGGAAAATTAAAATATACAGTTTGACTTAAATAAAGAGTGAGTATTGAAGTTGCTTTTTCCATGGAGTTTTGTGCAGTTTAAAAATGAATTTTGATTTTTCTCTTATGATTATGAGCATTGACTTTATTGGGCACGGAAGGAAGGTCCTTTTTAATTTTTAGAATTAAATGTGATAGGAGCTCGTAAACTCTCAAATGTCTATAAATTGAGTACTAAACATAAACATCTGTGAAATCGAGCATTCATCTTCCAGGTAATTTAAAAATGGTTTGGTTGGATTTGTTGGAAAGAGTGCTTTAAGATGCTTTATTGCCTAGTACTTCACACTCTTATCACGAGGGTAACTAGTCCAATGTATTCTAGTTTGAAGTTAAAGCCTTGATAATTATTGATGCATCATGTGACTCTCTGTACATTAAACTTAGTGCAGGTTACAATCCTGAGAGCTGCCACCGACAAATCTATCTCCATTTGCAGCCAAGAGCAGTATCTGAATTTATCGCACATGGCTTGTCAAATGAGATGTATGATTCCGAAGCCAGGATTATCAACTTCAGATAATGAATACCCTGATAAGTCCTGTATAAACGTTGCAGCTTCTAGAATCCAAAGCCGGTGCAGCGAGCGAAGCTTTTCTGGAGAAGCTCTAAAAGTTGGCATGAAGTCCGCATCATTAGTGCATAGCTGGTAAAACTTTGAACTATGTTTCAAAATATGAATCGTTGGAACTCTTACATTTTCCAGTGCTATTGTCCTTTTACTAGTTATCTGATCCTGTGACAACGTTGTCTGGAAATTCTAGTCACAGAAATGGATACATGCATTGTTCCCATGACAGTACTCTCTTTTTCTTTCATGCTGATGCACCGAGCTTCCACATTTCTTTCTTTCCCATATATCGTTTTTTCATGCATTTTAGTGGTTGCCAGAATTAGAGACCGTTACCACTTCACAAGTCTGGTGGTACGGTTTCTAAGAGATGCTGAATTATTTTCATGCTTATTTTTTATCTTTCAACTAGGAGAATAAACCAGTTGTTTCATGTACTTGCAACATCTGTTGATTTTCAATACCTTGGTTCAGTTTCCTGGCAAGAAGGTCAGGATGGAGAATAGCCTTTGCCTTGAACACAGGTGGAGCGCCAGGTGATGGTGAACAACAAAGCCTCGATGATGCTAGTTCCAATTTTGGCAGCACACGATTGGGTAGGATTCTGGCAGCAGGTGGCAGACAACTGCTAGAAAAACTGAACTCAGCGAGAAAGAACTTTCCAATGAAGATATTCCTGGTACTTTTGGGTTTCTACACTGCAAATGCACTGGCTACAATCCTCGGGCAGACCGGTGACTGGGATGTTCTGGTCGCAGGTGTCGTGGTGGCTGCAATTGAGGGGATTGGCATGCTCATGTACAAAAAACCTTCTACTATGAGGACTGGGAGGTTGCAGTCTTTTGTGACAATGATGAACTTCTGGAAAGCTGGAGTGTGCTTAGGTCTCTTTGTGGATGCTTTTAAGTTAGGCAGCTAAAGGTCCCCATAGTTTGTCTCCTAATAATGCTGTATCCTCTTCTTTCATAAATCTATGATAAGCCCCAATTTCGGCTCCATTTCTCCTCTATTGCCCAATTATATATATGGTGTACATTTATTGTAATATATTAATAGAATAATACGGTTGCTTAATGAATGCGTGAGATACATCTAAAGCTGAGGGGTGGACTATTACTTAGTTATTGAAACACTCGGACGCACAATCAAGCTTGAACAATCCATAATTTTATCTCTAACTTGAAAATTTTATAAAATGAACGGCGCCCTGTAAAATGTTGATACTAAAGAAATATGTCAATAAGATAGGAAAAAGGCTTTTTCAAAACAATTAAGCACTTGCATCAGTAAATTTGAGCTCGTGAATTGTGATTCCATTATGTCCAAGCGAACTAGCTTAGGCATTAAAATCACTATCTCAGTAATGAAGCAGCCAGCTTATCTTAGATCAATTTGTTTACCGCTTTTTAATCAACAGGCTGTCCGGAAATGAGAGAAGGTATTTACATGAAGTGTTCATAGTTTTCACAGAATTGGCTACAGTTAATTGCTCTACTTGTAGAACGTGGTTCTATAGTTATAAAAGATACAAAGTGTTAAAAGAAGGGGAAAAAAATGAAGCAAATAAAATACATTATTCACATATATTACTACAACAACAAACCTTATTCCATTATGTACAGTAGACTAAATGGACAATATTCATGTACATACACACACGCTACCATGAATCGAAAAGGAGGTTGTTGTTGCTTATTGGAAGTACCTTCACTATGGCATGAGACCATTTTGACACTTATTGATTCAAAAGGTTTTCTTTATGCCCTTTCTGCGTGAAGTAGGTGTTCAAGCTCTTCTCTACGCCGTTCCAGCTCCTGGTAAGAATCCATAATCAAGCAAATAACGCAGAACTTTGATTAGAAGAGCGCTCATGTAGACCAGGTTTGCTATAGATATAAACAAGCAAATCATTAGAAGACACATAAACATATCAAAACTAAAGTGGATCTTAATAGAAAGAGTATTAACCCCAGATGAGATAGATATTTAAAATATAAAATCATTGATAAATGCGGATAATAATATCTAATTTAAGATACATTAGTTTTTGGAGATCTTTAGCTGCCTAACTTAAAAACATATCTAATTGGGCCTATTCACACAACTTTTTTCTTTGGGGTTACGAGTAGCAAAAATATATGATAAACCGTTCACAGCACTTCAGCATTTAGAAAAGAAAAATGTAGAGTTCATTCACTTTTCAATTCTGATAAAAATTTATCCATCTCCCATTTCCTAATCTCACAGCAGAAGAAAATTTTAGAGCTCTTTGGGATATCCTTCTTGTGCAAGCAATATCTATGAAGACCAACCTTATCAAATAACCCTTGATTTCTCACCCTTTTTTGTTTACCCCTCTTTCAGAGAAACACAGCTACTGCCACCGAAACCGTGCATTAATTCTATGTAAAACCTCAAGTTGCATGTATTGTTTTACTCATCATTTGACTAAGTACGAAGAATGACAGAGATAACAGAATGAAATTTAAAAATAAAATTAACGTAAAGCTTACCTCCAGATCCTTGGCTGCTTTCTCTCTTAAGGCCTCCCTCTGTTCCCGAGCACGTTTCATAAAGCCAATGCATAGGATTCCCTTGAATTTTTATTATCATTATACATAATGTCACTAATTGAGGAAGAACATAGAAAAAAAGTAAAGGGAGAATGATATAATGATAAATAAATCGAAGTCCTTTTAAAGATATACAATATAAACAATCTGAAATAAATACCAAGTCGATGGACAACAGAACATAGTATGTAACTTTGAGTACTGCAGTATAAGATGATTTTTAAGCACCCTAAGCCGAATAAGAAATCATTCGCCACTCAACATCCGCTGAGCCAATTGCAAAAGTAAAACATAAATCTGGCTTTTCACAAAAAGATATAAACATAACCTCCTCTTAAAGGAACTTACAAACAAACAGTTTGGCATACATGTGGACACAAAGTGAAGAAGACACTCTAAACAGCATTATTACACCGTCCAATGATCTCACCGAAACAACGTAAAGTACACCACAAGCAAGAAGCATATAGCATGCTACGTTCTGAAGAATAACTTCTATTCGCTCCCCACCAAAATTGGGGAAGGCTCTGGTCATTACTGCCACACTGCAGAAAGAAATCCACAAATTTAGAAACCAAACAAGAATGTCTGTCATTATATACCTAAAAGTAGCTTCTCATTCCATGGTCAGTCAGTTACTCTGACTACATTTCTAGCATTCTACATACTAACAAAAAACTGCGTACTTAATTTAGGCAATAAAGACCCGCATTTTCTACTGCTTCTAAAATATCAATTTGAACTAACCAAACACTTTAGAAGTCGATTATTCCAACATGACAATTTAAGGTTACAGGAACAAAGAGAAATATTAAAATAACTTCAGGTAAGAGATGAATGAACTAAAGATGAACGAACTAAAGATCGAATAATTCTCACTACGGAACACGTACAAGATCTGCAGCATACCCCTGCAAGGCCAATACTCCAAAGCCTGTACAGGATTGAATGAAAAATCTAATTAGACGATTGAAAATTAACATTAACCACAGCAAAATGTAAATCGAAATCAGCCCAAAGTAATTCAATGATCATTGGAAATCTAAGTGTTCATCAAGCAGAGAAGGCTATAGCACTGAAACAAATATAAAATAAACCACGGTTAATGAACCAAAAATACCTTGAATGACTTCATGATCAAACCCCATTCTGTTTCAGCCAGAACTACAAAACAAGATATCAGAACCGCATAGCACCGAAATACGCCATCGAAAATCTATAGTCCACTCTCAAAAATAACGGCAAAAGTTAGTAAAGAAGACGAAATATAACACCCATTACCCCTAAAAGCCAAATGTTAGAAAAGCGCGAAAGTGAAGCATGCATACACCAGATACGTGTCTGAAGCTCTTTAGAGCCGAGAGGCCATTGACGACTGTGCAAAGAATGGCCGCCAAACTGGTCAACAAGCTGAAGCATTTACACGCCACTAAGAATGGGTCTGGTCTCGTTCTAACTCCGTTACTTGAAGAAAGAATAGGCACGTTCTCCTTCTCCTCGTTTCTAGGCATGTTCTCGAACTTGCTCAGTGTGGAGAAAACGCTTCACCTCACCCAGCAAAAGAAAGCCAGGAAAATCGAAAGAAACCCAGAATGCGAGACTCTCTCTCACAAGCTTGAGTTCGTTTGAAAGTTTCGAGCTTTTTCGTTGTCTTTGATCCTTCCCACCACGTCTTCGGTTTTCTGCCACTTCTTTGCTTGTCATGGAATGCAAGGTACTCTCCACTCTGGAATTGATTTCCCTATGGTATTTGCCTCGCAGTTAGGAATCGCTGCACGTGCGGCTTTGCTTTTTGGGAATAATATTATTATAACTATAATTCTTTAATATTAATTTTTTAAAAAAACCTTTACAAAAAACCCTTTTTAAAAAAAAAGCATATCATATTATTATTATGTAAATTGATTCTTCCATAGTTCTGTTCGTCTTTCATTTGAAATGGGGGCCAAAAAAAAAAAAAAGTCATGTCACCTGCTACATACTCATTTGTTTCATTAAGGCCCGTTTGGTTCAAAGTTTAGATTTATTAGATTCAATGCTTACTTGATAACACGTCTATTGCATATTCAATCCTGGGCTTAGTTTTATAATTTTAATAAATATGAAATGTAAAATAAAAATAATTCAAGCCGTAAAATTTTATATTTTTATTTACGTCCCCCAAATTTCATCACAAAGATGACTAGAATGAGCTCATCATGAGCATCACTAGATTCTCATTAGTAAGGAAGAACTGATTTTCCCCTATATGAGATAAATATTTAAAAAATATTTGTCTCCTAACAATATTTTTTTAAGCTCTCCCAATCCGAAGTAATAAAAAAAAGCGCTTCTTTTACATGTCTTTTTTATTAAAAAAAAAATGCTTAGTAAAAGCAGCAATTTGAAATGCATAATAACCCAAAGAATTAAATGGGCATGGTCATGGCAAGCATTTAGTTCTATATAATTTATATAAATTTTATATCTTTTATAGATCCGCTATTAATATGGCCTCAACATCATGTGATACGCATGTGACCACATGATTTTCTTCAAATGATCATTTTTATTTTATTACAACATATTTATACACATCCTAACTCATCACACTTCAAATAAAGGGCAACACAAAGCAAATATGTTTGTTCAATTGTCTCATGGCTTCCCCTGTCCAAAAGACACTTGGTTGGCTATTTTGGCTCCTCTCTCTTTTGCCATATATAGACCTACATGATGCATAAACTCCTGTAAAAGAAATATTATCCATTGTTATTAGATTCCAATGTGACTTTCAAAAAATTACATTTGAATAAAATCTAAAGCTCCTGTGGATAAAATGTAAATCTTGAGGGTCTGAGATTTTACCTGAGGATGAGATAAAGCTCCTTTCATGTTTCTGGCAACATCAAGAGGGAAGTCAAAAGTGGCACATCCATTTGAATACACCACTACTTTCTCCAATGGTTTTAGAAATCCTCTGTTCTTAGCTGACATTGTGGAACACACAAAGTCCAGAACACATATATCTGTACACACTCCCACAACCACCAACTTCACAACAACACACAAAAAAAAAAAAAAGGCATAATTATCTAATTATTAGAGGCTTCTAATTAAATCACCTCAATGAAGACCATAATAGTTATTGAATATTCATTGGCCTCTTCAAAAAGAGCAAAACATATATAATCTTATGTGATACTAATAGATACTTCTTCCATGCCAAATATAAACCCAATTTTGTAGTAATACGTTCAGTTCTAATTATAAGACCTCGTTTATAGTCTACAAACGAAGTCTTATAATTAACAAACGACGTCTTATAATTAGGATTGGAGGTAGCATAATTTACACTACAAAATAGGTCTTACATTTAGTACCGAAGGAGTACCATTTAACACTTAAAAATTCCAATTTTTTCATAAGGGCTTTATGTTTCAAGTGCTTACAGTTTTGATGTTGTTGTTCTTCACCCAGTCTGCAAAAACATTAGAGCCATCTTCTTCCATTGAGCCCAAATATCCATCAAAACAGTCTTTACGCCTGATTGTCACGTTTGGTTCACCTTCCAGCCATCTTAATTCTGCAATTTGAATGGCCAATCTTTAAAAATAGACCCATAGGGGGAAGAAAATAAATGCCTATGAACTCAGTCTAACGAAACCAGGTGCTTATCATCATTAAATGGTTTCATATTTTAGTCATTGTGGTTAGGCAGAGTATAAGTGACTCAACACTCTTTAAGTAAAATCTGGACTTAGAGCCTTGTGGATGGGGAAAAAACAACATTAAAAGAGTTTCCCTCTAACCACTGAACCTCTCACAAATGTGAGATTTTTATTTATTATAGGCGCCAAATGTTCTATAGTCAACTAATTTGTTAAAATATCAGTAATTCCAGCTTGTTTTGAAGCATATCTACTGTTATAATATTGAATGTTAGGATAAGCAAAGGGAGAAAGAGATTAAAGGTGAGAATCTGTGATGATCAAGAGTTGTGCCTTATTCCTTCCTCTTTGTTCACTTTGTATTCTAGTGAAAGATGAAATCTGATTCAAATATTGATAGAGAAAGAAACAAAGTAAAAAAGCCAGATTCCTAAACCTGGAACCAGATTTGATTCATCAGACCCAATAAGACAGTGAGGAGGGTAAGGATCTTCTGGCTTGTTTGGGTGGTGAGAATCCAGAAACGCCATAATTGGCAGTTTCTTCTCACAGAACAATCTGGCCAGCCTTGCTGATTCCTCAATCATCCCTGAAATCTGCATATTGGGTTCTGTTGGAGCCTACAATCAAACATGGTCCATCCATCATCTTCATCTTCTCAAGATCAAACTACGCACAGATATATATATATATATATATATATAGCAGAACTGGTATTTGATGAAGTTTATAGTGGAAAATTAAGTATGGAGATACCAGATTTCCAGCACCAACCGTGCAGAAGCCATTGATGATGTCCACAAGAACAAGGCCATTCACAGAATCTTCAGGCAAAACGAAGGCCTCCTGATCCAGAGGGATCTCATCTTCAACAGCTCAACTACCTGTGAAACCATCTTTAACTAATTTCTTCTTCTCTCCCAACTTTATTGTGTACTCAAAGAGGTCTCTCTCTGTGTGTCTATATTGAGAAGTTTCATAACAATAATAATAGTATAATGGTTGGCTTCCAGCTCTTCTTACGGTGACTCAATTTTAAAGTCAAAGATTGTGAGTGTGATGGATAAGAACATGAAGACAAGTTACTAGTATGTTGTCGCTTTCACCACCATAATAAAAATTTGGTCTTTAGTTTCCAATAGTTTCAAGTGTTTGGATTGGTGTGACAAAGTGGCTGCACAAGTCAAATGCAATGACTCATTAGATTTTTATTTTATGGCTTATCCCCCCTCAATATGTCACGTTCTTTGACAAAAACCATATTTTTCTTTGGGTCCTTAATCATTCAATTTGAAGGGGGTCCACAATAGGAGAAAATTGCTATATTCCTAACAAAAAAAAAGCATCCAAATTTAATTCTCTTAAGTGGGACCTGATTGCAATTTTCCCAAAGAAAAATGTAGAGTTCATTCAATTTTTAATTGTGATAAAAATGTATCCGTCTCCCATTTCCTGGTTTAACAGCAGAAGAAAATTTTAGAGCTCTTTGGGATATCCTTCTTGTGCAAGCAATATCTATCAAGACCAACCTTATCGATTTCTCACCCTTTTTGTTTTCCCCTCTTTTAGGCTGAGAAAAGAGAGACACAGCCATTGCTACAGAAACCGTGCATTAATTCATTGTAAAACCCCCAGTCGCAAGCATTGTTTTACTCATCATTTGACTAAGTAGGAAGAATGACAGAGACAACAGAATGCAATTTAAAAGCAAAATTAACGTAAAGCTTACCTCCAGATCCTTGGCTGCTTGCTCTCTTAAGGTCTCCCTCTGTTCCCGAGCACGTTTCATAAAGCCACTACACAGGATTCCCTTGAATTTTTATGATCATTATACAGAATGTCATTAATTGAGGAAGAATATAGAAAAAAAGCAAAGAGAGAATGATATAACAATAAATAAATCGAAGTCATTTTAAAGACATACAATACAAACAATCTGAAATAAACACCAAGTCAATGGACAACAGAACATTGTACGTAACTTTAATTGATGCAGTATAAGATGATTTTTAAGCACCCTATGCCGAATAAGAAATAATTCGCCACTCAACATCCGCTGAGCCAATTGAAAAGATAAGACATGAATCTGACTTTTCGTTAAAGACATAAACATAACCTCCTTCCAAAGGAGCTGACAAACAAACAGTTCGGCATACATGAGGACAAAAGTCAAGAAGACACTCTAAACAGCATTATTACACCGTCCAATGATCTCACCGAAACAACATGAAGGACACCACAAGCAAGAAGCATATAGCATGCTACGTTCTGAAGAATAACTTCTATTCGCTCCCCACCAAAATTGGGGAAGGCTCTGGTCATTACTGCCACACTGCAGAAAGAAATCCACAAATTTAGAAACCAAACAAGAATGTCTGTGACATTATATACCTAAAAGTAGCTTCTCATTCCATGGTCAGTCAGTTACTCTGACTACATTTCTAGCATTCTACATACTAACAAAAAACTGCGTACTTAATTTAGGCAATAAAGACCAGCATTTTCTAGTGCTCGTAAAATATCAATTTGAACTAACCAAACACTTTAGAAGTCGATTATTCCAACATGACAATTTAAGGTTACAGGAACAAAGAGAAAGACTAAAATAACTTCAGGTAAAGATGAATGAACTAAAGACAAACATCATAATTCTCACTACGGAACACGTACAAGATCTGCAGCATACCCCTGCAAGGCCAATACTCCAAAGCCTGTACAGGATTGAATCAAAAATCTAATTAGGCGATGGGAAATTAACATTAACCATAGCAAAATGTAAATCGAAATCAGCCCAAAGCAATTCAATGATCATTGGAAATCTAAGTGTTCATCAAGCAGAGAAGGCTATTGCACTGAAACAAATATAAAATAAACCACGGTTAATGAACCAAAAATACCTTGAATGACTTCATGATCAAACCCCATTCTGTTTCAGCCAGAACTACAAAACAAGATATCAGAACCGCATAGCACCGAAATACGCCATCGAAAATCTATAGTCCACTCTCAAAAATAACGGCAAAAGTTAGTAAAGAAGACGAAATATAACACCCATTACCCCTAAAAGCCAAATGTTAGAAAAGCGCGAAAGTGAAGCATGCATACACCAGATACGTGTCTGAAGCTCTTTATAGCCGAGAGGCCATTGACGACTGTGCAAAGAATGGCCGCCAAACTGGTCAACAAGCTGAAGCATTTACACGCCACTAAGAATGGGTCTGGTCTCGTTATAACTCTGTTACTTGAAGAAAGAATAGGCACGCTCTCCTTCTCCTCGTTTCTAGGCATGTTCTCGAGCTTGCTCAGTGTGGAGAAAACGCTTCACCTCACCCAGCAAAAGAAAGCCTGGAAAATCGAGGGAAACCCAGAATGCGAGACTCTCTCGCACCTCTTCTTCCTCTCTCACAAGCTTGAGTTCGTTTGAAAGTTTCGAGCTTTTTCGTTCTCTTTGATCCTTCCTGCCGCTTCTTTACTTGTCATGGAATGCAAGGTACTCTCCGCTCTGGAATTGATTTCTCTATGGTTTTGCCTCGCAGTTAGGAACCGCTGTACGCGCGACTTTGCTTTTTGGGAATATAATATTATTATAACTATAATTCGTTAATATTAATTGTTTTCAAAAAAACAAATTTACAAAAAAAAACATTTTTTAATTATATTTGGCCAAAAAAAAATACCTCTGGTCCTAATTATAAAACTTAATTGACTAATTTGAGAACATTAAGAGAACAAGTTAAATTAGTTATTTTTAATAAATAGGTGTCGTTTTTTTTAAAATATCCTTACTAATCAAATATATTGACTAGAATTACCATTGTTAAAAAGACTATCTTAGAAAAAATGTATAAATAATAAAAACAAAATAGATTAAAATCTCATATTTAAAATCAAAATAAAAATTAAATAAGGTATTATGTTAAGCACTGGAGGTAGTATTATATTATTTATGTAAATTGATTCTTCTATATTTCTATTCGTCCTGTTACCTGCTGCATGCTCATTTGTTTCATTAAGGCCCGTGCGGTTCAAAGCTTTAAAATTTTATTTTTTAAAACAAATTTGAAATGTAAAATAAAAATAATTTTCTACTGGTCAATTTTTTCCAGACGTAAAATTTTATTTATGTCCAAATTTCATCACAAAGATGACTAGAATGAGCACATCATGAGCATCACTAAATTCTCATTAGGAATGAAGAATTGATTTTACCTTATATGAGATAAATATTTAAAAAATATTTTTCTCCTAACAATATTTTTTTAAACTCTCCCAATCTGAAGTAATAAAAACAATGCGATTCTTTTTACATATCTTTTTAAAAAAATGCTTACTAAAATCAGCAATTTGAAACGCATAATAATCCAAAGAATTAAATGGGCATGGCCAAGGCAAGCATTTAGTTCTGCATAATTTATATAAATTATATTCCTCCAATTGTTAATATAAGACCTATTTAACTAATTTGATTAAATTAAGAAAGTTAGATAAGTTAGTTAATTATAAGAAATGTGACATTTTTTTTTCTAAAACACCGTAATCATCTTCCTTAATATCCTCCTTCCCTCTTCTACTTGATTATGGTTAAGAGAGTATTTATAGGGACAATTTAGAAAAAAATTGATAAATATGAGAAATAGATATTATATGTAGGACCAAAACTAACTAAACAATTAGGTCATATATTAAGGACCGAAGAAGTATATCTTTTATAATCCGCTATTAAGATGGCCTCAACATCATGTGATATGCATGTGACTACTTATTTTTTTCACTCATCCTGCATATTTAGTTATTTACAATAATATAATTAAAACTCAAGATTTTTTTCTAATGATCATTTTTATTTTATTACAACATCTTTATACACATCCTAATTCATCACACTTCAAATAAAGGGCAATAGAAAGTACATACTCCTCCGGCTCTAAATATAATATCTTTATATTGGTGTGTATAAGGGTCTTATATTTAGTATCGAAAAGTATGTTTGTTCAATTGCCTCATGGCTTCCCCTCACCAAAAGACACTTGGTTGGCTATTTTGGCTCCTCTTTCTTTTGCCATATATAGACCTACATGATGCATAAACTCCTGTAAAAGAAATATTATCCATTGTTATTAGATTCCAATGTGACTTCCAAAAAATTACACTTGAATAAAATATAAATCATGAGGGTTAGAGATTTTACCTGAGGATGAGCTAAAGCTCCTTTCATGTTTCTGGCAACATCAAGAGGAAAATTAAAGGTGGCACACCCATTTGAGTATACCACTACTTTCTCCAATGGCTTCAGAAATCCCCTATTCTTAGCTGACATTGTGGAACACACAAAGTCCAGAACACATATATCTGTGCACACTCCCACAACCACCAACTTCACACCAACACAAAAAAGAAAAAAAAAACCATAATTAACTACCTAATTATTAGAGGCTTCTAGTTAAATCACCTCGGTGAAGACAATAATAGTTAATGAATGTTCATTGTCCTCTTCAAAAATACCAAAACATATATAATCTTATGTATGACATGTGCCATATCAAATACTCTTCCAGTTTTAACTATAAAACCCATTTTGTTGGGTCCTATATTTACTACTGGAGGAGTACCATTTAACATTTAAAGTTTCAATTTTTTTCACAAGGGCTTTATGTTTCAATACTTACAGTTTTGATGTTGTTGTTCTTCACCCAGTCTGCAAAAGCATTAGAGCCATCTTCTTCCATTGAGCCCATATATCCATCAAAACAGTCTTTACGCCTGATTGTCACGTTTGGTTCACCTTCCAGCCATCTTAATTCTGCAATTTGAATGGCCAGTCTTTAAAAATAGACCCATAGGGGGGGGGGGAAATAAATACCTATTAACTCAGTCTAACGAAACCACGTGCTTATCATCATTAAGGCCCTGTTTGGATAGCAGGCCAAACCATGGTTTGGGAAAAAAACAATCCAAACAGGTACAAATTATCTGAAATCATGGTTTGGATCAAAATCTTGGTTTTGAAACCCAAAACCATGGTTTCGGGAGAAATGAATCCATTCTGTTTCTGGCTCAAATTGGAGAGTATGATTGTGCCCATTAGAGTAAATCTCAATAATAATATGACTTTAACACCCCTTAATTAATTTTTTATAAACATATTTAATTGTATATCTTATAAATAAATATACACATATTAATTATTTATTAATTACATTATCTTATGTATTATTAATTATGTTGGTAAAAAATATATTATTTACAATTTTATTCCTTCAAATTAAAATATATCATACAATCTATGTTTTATGTAATTATCATATTAACTTATGCTTTTTTTAATAATTTGTACATATAAAAAGTGCTTCTGATAACAACTATCCAAATACTCTCACTTCTCAAAATCACTTTTTCACAAAATCTATTTTTCACAAAATCTATTTTTTCCAGAATCTATTCTCCAGAAAATTTTCTCCAAACTATGGTTTGGTTTCATCCAAACACCCCCTAAATGGTTTCAAATTTTAGTAATTGTGGTTAGGCAGAGTATAAGTGACTCAACACTCTTTAAGTAAAATCTGGACTTAGAGCCTTGTGGATGGGGAAAAAACAACATTAAAAGAGTTTCCCTCTAACTACTGAACCTCTCACAAATGTGAGATTTTTATTTATTATAGACTCCAAATATTCTATAGTCAACTAATTTGTTAAAATATCAGTAATTCCAGCTTGTTTTGAAGCATATCTACTGTTATAATATTGAATGTTAGGATAAGCAAAGGGAGAAAGAGATTAAAGGTGAGAATCTGTGATGATCAAGAGTTGTGCCTTATTCCTTCCTCTTTGTTCACTTTGTATTCTAGTGAAAGATGAAATCTGACTCAAATATTGATAGAGAAAGAAACAAAGTAAAAAAGCCAGATTCCTAAACCTGGAACCAGATTTGATTCATCAGACCCAATAAGACAGTGAGGAGGGTAAGGATCTTCTGGCTTGTTTGGGTGGTGAGAATCCAGAAACGCCATAATTGGCAGTTTCTTCTCACAGAACAATCTGGCCAGCCTTGCTGATTCCTCAATCATCCCTGAAATCTGCATATTGGGTTCTGTTGGAGCCTACAATCAAACATGGTCCATCCATCATCTTCATCTTCTCAAGATCAAACTACGCACAGATATATATATATATATATATATATATATAGCAGAACTGGTATTTGATGAAGTTTATAGTGGGAAATTAAGTAAGGAGATACCAGATTTCCAGCACCAACCGTGCAGAAGCCATTGATGATGTCCACAAGAACAAGGCCATTCACAGAATCCTGAGGCAAAACGAAGGCCTCCTGATCCAGAGGGATCTCATTCTTCAACAGCTCAACTACCTGTGAAACCATCTTTAACTAATTTCTTCTTCTCTCCCAACTTTATTGTGTACTCAAAGAGGTCTCTCCCTGTGTGTATACATATAGAGAAGTTTCATAACAATAACAATAGCATAATGGTTGGCTTCTGGCTCTTCATATGGTGGCTCAATTTTAAAGTCAAAGATTGTGAGTGTCATGGATAAGAAAATGAAGTTACTAGTATGCTGTTGCTTTCACCACCATAATAAAAATTTGGTCTTTAGCTCCCAATAGCATAATGGTCTCTCTGTTGTTTGGATCGGTGTGGCAAAGTGGCTGCACAAGTCAAATGCAATGACTCATTAGGTTTTTATTTTATGGCTTATCCACCCTCAATATGCCACGTTTTCTTTGACAAAAACCATATTTTTCTTTCGGCTCCTTAATCATTCCTTTTTAAGTGGGTCCACAATATGAGAAAATTCCTTTATTCCTAGCCAAAAAAAAAAAAAAGCATCCAAATTTGACTCTTGAGCATGAGAAATATCAAGCACTCGATTTATAACCCAAGAACTCATATTTACTCTACATGACATGGAATTTTTTTTTTTACTCTTTAACAAACTCATAATATTATAACTTGCTATGATTTTTTTTTTTGCCAGAAACTTGCTATGAATTACCTATATAGGTATAATGATGGTTATTTTGTATGTTTTTCTTTCGGGTTATCCGGTGCAGCAATGGGCAGAACAAGAATTTTGAAGGAAACAAATGGGCAGAATTGGAATGTAATTAGGGAGACAGGGATATAATAGGGAAAACGGAAGTGGATAAGAAAATTTATTTAATTAATTTGAAGAGATAAGAGACGTAAATAAATTAACTAACTCTAACAAAATTGATATGATCTCCATGAAATATTCATATGTAATATATTAGATTATATATTAGTCTATAAGTTAGACAAATTAGTTTTGATAATATTAATAAATATGAGAGATAAAATAAATTAAAATTTTGTATTTAAAATTAAAATCAACTTTCTAACTAATCCCTATAACGAAAGGAGTAGAAAAACAGCGAATGACTAATTAGGGACCTATTCGGGGGCAAAGCTGATGGACCAATGGACTAAGTTCAAAAATTTTAGAGCTTAAAATTGGCCCAAAAAATTTATGCTAAGCCTAAATTTCACTAATTGAAGAACTAATCTAATGCCTTATAGATATGGCAAAAAATGTTAGGAAAATAATTACATGTTTTAGGAACTAATCTTTCATAACATGATGTATCAAAATTTAAATTTAAATTTAAAAAAGTACCTGTATTAAATGCCCGATTAAATATAATGACAAAAAATAATCTTTTATAACATGGTGACTCAAAATTCAAATTACTGTATTAAGTGTCTTGGATATAATTAACTTAATTATGTGTTTTTTTATGAATAATGCAAGGCCAAAGCCCATCTATATCATGACTTTATGTGGGAATGAAACACCAACAGAATCAATGTAACAAACTTCCAAATACCTGAGGGAGGCTGATCAAAAATAACAGTTCCCTCCTCAACCTCAAAACCAAGATTTACTAAAAAAATCAGCAAATGAATTCCCCTCCCTATACACATGTACGACTCTAACCTGTGCAAAATTACTAAGCTCATTCTTTACAATTTTTATCAGACTCGAGACATTATCAACATCATTATCTAAGCTCTTTAACATATTGACAACAGTAACAAAATCACTTTCAATAACTAGATTCTATATACAAATTTCCCAGGCAATCTGCAGTCTAGTTGCGACTCCCCATAGCTTAGCTTTAACAATGGAACAGCAACCAAGTCTCTTTGCAAATCCCCTAATCCATCTTCCTTCATAGCTTCTTAGGAGAGCCCCACATCCAGATACACCATTGAGACCTTTTGAGGCCCTTCTGTATTTAATTTTGTCCACCCCACCAAAGGAGGTTTCCAACAAACATATTTTTCATGTCTTCTCACTCCCAACATCCCATAGAAGCTTGGAATGTCTAGGATCTCATTTACATATCTGTCAATCACCAGATTTGGTCTCTCAGGAATAGCAAAGTTCTCTTCAAACAAGCACCTATTTCTCCTTGTCCGTAGCTGCCAGCAAATCACCCCAAACTCAACACTCCTTCTATTCCCCCTCCTACTCAAGCACCATTCAAACCACTTCATTCCCTCCAATAAGAGGAAGTTACTGTCTTGCAACCAGTTACTACATATATCCCATATTCTTCTTGCAAAATGGCAATCTCTTAAAACATGCATGATTGTCTCCACTTCTTCCACACACTTATGACATGTAGGGCTTCCACCCATCAATCTACTTTTCCTTTCAGTTGTCAAAAGTCTGTTATGCATTGCTAGCCATAAAAAAATCTGAATTCTTCTAGGTCCTTTCCATTCCCATATACAATTCACACAACATTCTTTTCTCTGACCTCTCTTCTCATCATTTTATACATTCAACAACCATATAATCCCCCCTCAACCCTGCATCCCACTTAATCACATCTTTACCTTGATTAATGTTTGGTGGAGGCATAGCTAAAACCATATTTCTCCCTCTATCATTCAACACAACATTAATTTTTGTAAAATTCCATTGTCTATTACCATCAACTATGTCTTTAACTCTCCAGTTCATCATTTCATCATCCAGAGGCACATTACATTCATCCTCTAGTTTAACATCCCTATCACACCATAAGTCCTTCCAGAATCTTATAGTTTCCCTATTCCCAACTTCCCATCAAATCCCTTTCAATATCTGGGGCCACAACCTCACTAGATTCCTCCATATTTCCGAGTTTGATTCTTTAGCAACACATTCAACCTGCAAATTCAAATTTCTGCCATACTTTCCAGCTAGAACCCTTGAACAAAAACACTCCAACCAAGAAATCAAGTTCCAGCCAACTTTGGCTAACAGGGCATCATTCATAGTTCCCATATCCTTCAACCCATACCCCCCTCTATCTTTAGGGGTACATAACAAATCCCAACTGACTACATGCATTCTTCTCTTTTCCTCATCACTCTTCCATATGAAGCTTCTTTGAATTTTTTCCATCTATATTCTCATACCCCTAGGAATGAGAGTGTTGCATATGGTGAACAACCATATTGTTTGTCACAGATTGAACTAACGTTAGTCTTCTCGCTAAAGAAAGATTTTGTCTTTTCCATCCACATAGTTTTGCTTGAATTTTATCAATTAGGAATTGGAATTTCTCATTAGTACTTCTCCCACTTTTAATGTAGGCCCCCAGGTATCTGCCCATATCATCTGAACGTTTGAAACTAGTCAAGCTGCATATATCATCTTGTAGTCTTCGGCAAGTGTTTTTGGAGGAAAAAAATACTAGTTTTCTGTACATTTATACGCTGCCTAGAAGCCTCCTCAAAATTTTCCAAAATATTCAGGACGTTAATAGCTTGGCCCGCACTTGTTTCACAAAACAACAAGAAATCATCTGCAAATATAAGGTAACAGCTATACCTCTTCTTCCCATGTTAAAGGTATTCCATTTATTCATTTCCACACTATCCGCAATCATATGAGACAGCTTTTCCATTCCTAAGAAAAATAAGTAAGGAGACAAAGGCCCCCTTGTCTCAAACTTTGAGAAGGCTTAAACTCCTCCCTTTTTCACCATTCCACATAAGAGCTGTTTTTGGTGAACTAATGCACATCATAATCACTTCAATCAAATGATTATCAAAACCTATCTCCTTTAAAACCTTTTCTAAAAACTCCCAAGACATTCTGTCTTAGGCTTTTTCTAAGTCAATCTTAATGGACATGAATCCTTTTTTTCCCACTCATCTTATTCATTGTGTGCACCAATTCCTTGGCAATTATTATATTGTCCTGAATATTCCTTTTAGGTACAAAACTAGCTTGAAAAGGGAAATTAGTTTGTCCATTAAGGGCTTCAATCTATTTACAACCAACTTAGTCAAAACTTTGTATAAAACATTACAAAGAGCTATCGGGCGAAATTGACGTACCACCTCAGGCCTTTCTATCTTGGGAGTTAAGAGTAGTAACATGTTGTTGATATCAACAATGCGTTCAGGTTGTTTCCACAAAGTCATAATCAAGTTTGAAACAGCATGCCCTACAACCTCCCAATTTTGTTGATAAAACAATGCTAGAAAACTGTTTTCCCCAGGAGCCTTCAAGCTTCTCTCTTTTTTTTTTACCAGAACAAGCTTCCCATTTGGAAAAAAGCATTTTTCACTTCCTATTTTTGCCTTGTTTGAAACTAGACCTTATTAACTTTTTCCTCACAGAATAAGTTTTCATAGAACTTTTGGAAGAGATTTACAATCGTGTCTTCATCGTCTATCCATCTTCCCTCTTCATCCTTTAGCATACTAACTCTATTCCTCCTCCTCCTAGTCAAGGTCTTCATATGGTAATATGTTGTGTTTCAATCCCCATATTCAATCCACTTCTCATGCGACTTCTGGTACCATAACACTTCTTCTTGCTTTAGCACTTCCAATAATTCAGATTCCAACTCTTTTTCCAAATGACAAAGGAAAAGATTTGCCTCTTCTACCAATACTTTGTTGAATCCCATATAAGCTGTTTAAGATTCTCTTTTTTTGCAATTCAACCCTTCCAAATATTTCCTTATTCTGCCATTGTAAGTCAAGTTTCAGCCTGCATAGCCTCTAATGGGCATCATCTCTTCCAGCCCAACATTCCTCCAGGAACTTCTTAAAAGTGTTCATGACTACGCCACATTGCCTCATATCTGAATAGTCTTCTCCCTCTAGGAACTAATTCCGGGAACATGTCCACCAAGAGAGGATGATGATCTGAACATATTCTAGGGATTTAACGTGATTCTTACCATTATTCCCCCATGTACATATAACCACCCTGTGATTCCATGGAGATATTGATGTTTATGTCCTTACTTTACGACAATACTTAGACTCATAGCCATAGCCATGTATAATTGGAACTTGATATAATAAGGGGTTAAGGTGTACCCAACACTCTAAAATATTTTTTCAGGTGCATCTAATATCTTAAAGTATTTTGTGATATATCCAGCACCCTGAAGTATTTTTTAGGGACGCCCAGCACCCTGAATTTTTTTTTTTTTACCTTAGTGCTGGATGTTCCAAAAAATATTTTTGAGCGTTGGACTGGATACACCTAGACAAAAAACTTTAAAATGCTGGATGTACAAAAAAAAACTTTACCATACTAAACGCAACTAAAAAAATATTTCCAGGTATTAGATGCACTACAAAATACTTTAAAGTCCTAGATGTACCTGAGAAAATATTTCAGGGTGCTGGATACACTTTAACCCTATAATAAATATAATTACCTTCACCGGAATTTTCTTTTGCTTGTCAACTAATTAAACACATTTTATTCACGTAAATTATTCTTATTTTCAAAATTTTCAAGCATTATTCGTGGGGAAGGGTATTTGTAATCGAAAGAAATTGAAAAATATATATTTATCCACAATCTGCTGGAGTTTATTTTCACCACCCTTTTTCCTTGCTCCAAGGAGGCGACCGGAGGCAAGAAGAAGAAGGTGCTTGAAGCCTGTGCGAGTGTTCTCTGACACACCAACTATTCAAATTCTCCAATGATAACGACATTTCTCTAACCCCATAAAGCTTTTCTTAATATGCAGTCAGCTTCCACCTCACTCTTTCATCAATTCCCAACTTTCCGGCCAAAATTCCGAACTCTCCCGTCAAGAACTCGACCCCTTGAATTCTACAGACCAAGGATGGCCTCGCTCTCTGACTTTCGCGTGTGGTCACAGATGGGACAGGGTGGTTCTTCTTCTTCTTCGTCTCCAGCTGATAATGGGTTTTGTTCATTAATGGAGTATGTGGGTAAGAGAGGACTAAATGTGGAAGATGATTTGGTGGTTTTGCTCTATCATATACAGTACGCTTGCAAGCAAATCGCTTCCCTTGTGGCTTCTCCTTTCAATTACTCTCTAGGGAAACGGTCTGGTCTCGGTTCAGCTGCCGGTAGTGGGTCTGACAGAGATGCTCCGAAGCCGCTTGATATTGTCTCGGTATATCTTTTTGGAGATTACTTTCTTGCTAACTATATAATGTTTGATGTTTCTTTTCATTGCATGCATATGAACATGATGTACTTGGACTAGTTACCGAAGGGTGGCTCATACCCACCAGGGCATAAAGGTTGAATTCCACTATTAAGAACACGAGAATTTTGTTTATGAACCAGTAAATTACAACAGTGTAAGCTTTTTTTGAGCTTAGCTTACCCGCTTAAACCCTTTTTTATACCAATGAAATGAGAAGAGAATGGTCTGCCTTTTTTTATACTTGTTAGGTAAGCTATATATAACACTGATACTTAAAAAATAGAGCACGATAATTTATAAACCATAATGTAACAACGCAAATTTCATCATGTCTACTTAGGCATCTCCTGAGGTTCATTATCTTATACTGATTTACATATACCTTGGAAGACCAAATGCCTATTTGGGATAAATCTTCACTTGGAATTTGGAATGGTGTTCCAAGCAGCCACCTGAGGTCAATCATCTAGATTAGTGTCACTCACAAAATGGAATCATCTTGTCTTAAAATCTTAAATAATAGTTATTAATGGATTGTTAGACTATTGGCAGTCACATATTAGAATGATCTTATCCTAAAGTGTCTCTATGTTCTAGTTCTTTAACCCTTTAGAGCCCCTCCTTTTCGGAAGTTCTTTTCTTGCCATTCTGCCTTACCAATTCAAGAGCCATGTAATTTTTTAATCATCTGGATGTTATTGAAACACAAGAAAAAGAAGGTTATAGATTGATCAGTACTCGTGCTATGATTTATTGCAGAACGAAATTATCTTGTCTTCACTACAAAATTCTGGAAAAGTTGCTGTCATGGCTTCTGAAGAGAATGATAATCCGATCTGGATAAGTGATGATGGTCCTTATGTGGTGGTAACAGATCCCCTGGATGGTTCTCGAAATATAGATGCTTCCATTCCAACGGGTACAATTTTTGGCATCTATAAGCGCCTCACAGAACTAGATAACCTACCCATTGAGGAGAAGGCTATGCTTAATTCACTTCAGAGTGGAACGAGGTTGGTTGCTGCTGGCTATGTTCTCTATTCATCTGCCACTATACTCTGCACTACCTTTGGTTCTGGGACACAGGCATTTACTCTTGATCATTCAACAGGAGACTTCATTCTCACAAACCCAAGCATCAAAATTCCTCCTCGCGGTAATTAATACTCATAGCCTACATAATCCATATCTAACATGAATCTATGCAATTGAAATGTTGACCCTTGTTAATATTTGTTGAAAATTTTGAAGTTATAACTAGCTAAACGAAATATCTTGGTTTCGTTGCAACTTTCACTTGTGGTTGGAGAGATATTCTTAGATAGACTGAACTACCTGAGAATAGTAGACATGTAAATATGTCAAGCATACTTTCCAGTAGAACCTGCCTTTAACATGCTTGCATCAGGCGAATTTTCATTGGTCGGGTATTGTCATCAAACCGATCTTTTACATTTACAAAATGGATGTAGAGAGTGCATTGAAAGAAAGATAGAGTGAAACAAGTAGAATAGTAAACCCCATACCTAACTGAGATGCAAATCCCATATACAGTCGCTTTCTCTTATTCTCTTTCCAAATGTACTCTCTACGTGCACTTCGTGAATGTTGTGAATGGAGTATTTTCTTAATATAACATTGGTGAGGGCTAATGTGCATAGTTTTAGGTGCTGTTGATTAATGCTGTATAATTTGCAGGGCAAATTTATTCTGTGAATGATGCAAGATACTTCGACTGGCCTGAGGGTCTAAGGCGATATATAGACACTGTAAGACAAGGCAAAGGTAAATATCCGAAGAAGTACTCGGCTCGGTATATATGTTCTCTGGTGGCCGATCTGCATCGAACTTTGATGTACGGGGGCGTGGCGATGAATCCAAGGGATCATCTTCGCCTTGTTTATGAGGCAAACCCTCTGAGTTTCATTGTGGAGCAGGCAGGAGGAAGAGGGTCTGATGGGAAAAGCAGAATTCTTTCACTTCAACCTGTTAAACTGCATCAAAGACTTCCTCTTTTTCTGGGGAGCTTGGAAGACATGGAAGAGCTGGAGAGTTACGGAGATGTACAACAAAAAGTCAATCCTGGTTATGAGGTTTGATCATGCTGGAACAATTTTGAATCTTCTTTAATAATGCTACCAGCTGATTCTCTCTTTGGTTCATGTATGTATTGCAATGACCAATACTTGTGTTAATAATTTTTGTTTTTTGAAGCGCAACAATTTGGTATCTAATAATACCAGCTAATTCACATTTAAACATAGTCCTTTTAAGGTGGTTTTTTTTTTCCCCCATCTTTAAGATTTAAATTTACTGCTTCATTTAAGTGGCACGTAGTCTCTTAAGCTGGCATAAACAATTGTAAAACTCTTGATAGGCAAAAAAAAAAATAATGAAAAAAAAGCAAAGACTTTTGAGAAGAGAAAATGATACTCATATTAATGATAAGAAAAATATAACTGAATTTGCAAAAGAATAAAAGAAAAGGATATTTTTCAACCTGCATTCTTATCACAAGAGGGCTTGAAGACACCATTTATTTTCAAGTATTTTAAGAAGTCCTCACTCCTAAAGACCTAATTTTATCCGTTCGTTTTTTTTTTAAAAAAAATCTATACACTAGGTTCTACTCTAAATGTAAGGTCTAGCATATTTACGACTGGGTAGTAATATACTCCCTCCAATCCATAATATAAAAATTCTTTTAGAAAAAAAAACTTTGGTTCTAAATATAAGATGTTGACATGATAATTAATGATAATTTTTTACTTTTATCTCTTATTATAAGGAGGGGAGAAAGTTTTAGTAGAAGGAGAGAGATTAGGGAATTTTCTTCTTACATTTTTTAACTTTTATCAATTTAAAACATATTTAATGACTTAACTAATATTTTTTGAAAAAAATTAACTAGTATCTTATATTATGTACTGAAAGCGGAATGTCTCGTTAGAAAGTGGCAGCTAAGGTATGAAAAAAAAAGAAAAAGAAAAGTATGGTCATAAATTGCAAAATTTTGCATTTACTATTATGAAAACACAACTTTCTGTTCCTCTCTCAGGAGTGTTTAAAAATTCTAAAAAAATAGAAATATTTTTTGCAGCTCGAGATAAAATTTTTTTATATATTTATTTCATATTCTATAAAATTATTTTTAAAATTATAATTTGATCTTACCTGAATATTTCCTCTGTATATATTTTTAAGTCTGCACATGTGATTTCTAGCTTGAGGCTGCCCAGCTTTAGGCATACCAAGCTCATTTTTGGGGACCTGATTATGCTGCGCTCGCTGTTACATCCAGTCCAAGCAGTACTTTAGCAATGTTTATAGTGGATACATTTTTAATTTAATTTTAAATATAAAAAATAACTCTTACAGTTTGTATATATTAAAAATTTTATCGAATAATAGTTCTAATTAATAAAAATATTTTAAAAAGAGCAATATTTTTAATTATAAATAATTACTTAAATTAATTTTTTTAACTCTTTAAATTAAGCAGTAAAGTTTTATATTAAAAATTAAAAGTAACATTTTTTTAATTATCTGTTCTTTTGTTTTTGACCGGATATTTTCTGCTTTTCAGGTGCGACCTTCTTGATTATGCACGAGAATATGTTAGAAGACTGCTGGCAGAGTTCAAAGTTATCTGGGGCGTGATGGGGTCCATAGGCTTGCAGACCCCAATTCAAGCCAATTTCTTTTATTTAAATAATTTTGTTTCATTATTTTAATTATATCGTAATTAATATAAGTGATAGATTTTTAAGTTCTTAATATAAAAGTTAGTTAATTAATTTGAATAAATTAAAAAAATTTGTTAAGTTAGTTATTTATAATAATTTGGTGTTATCTTTCTTAAAATACTTTTACTAATTATATATTAGTTAAAACTATTATTTGATTGTCTTACCCAAAAAAAACTATCATTTGATTGAACTTTTAATATATGCAACTATTATAAGAATTATTTTTTAAAAAATAAATAAATATGAAAGAAAAAGTAAATTGAGATCTTATATTTAAAATTAAATTAAAAGTTAAACTAATTCTTATATTAGTTAATATTATTGATGGCAAAAACCAACACACACAAATATGCATGCATACATAGTAGAAGAGTTCATAAAAAATTGAAAAAAATTAGTGTTTTGTTTCGTTTTTCTTAAAACTTCAAAACAATATTCATAAAACTTGAAATTATATATTAAAAAAATATTTAAGAATGAAATAATAAGGGAAAATCACAAATAAAGACACTCAAATTATTAAAATTACGCAGAGGTCGTCTGAATAAGCAAAATTACCATGGGGGATCCAGTATCATATTGCAAATTAGGACTGCACATAGACAGGGCTGGGCAAGGCAGAACCCTTACCCGATGCCCAGCCAGAAAAATAAACAGGCTGAAAAATGCAACCTGTTGCCCAACTCTGCCCATAAAAAGCCCTATTGAGTTTGGGTTTGGCAAATAAAATATATATAAATAAAATTATATATATTTTTGTGGGCAGGGCCAAATGGGTAGGGCAGCATACCGTCCCCGATGCCTAGCCCTGCCCAACAATTTGTCCAACCCGAACATGCCCAATAATTCTTTCGGGCCAATTTTTTTAGGGCTGACTGGGCATTTTTTTGCAGGTTTGGGCAGGCATAGCAGGCAACTGGGTTTCATGAACACCCTTATTGCAAATATGAAATCTTAGTGAAATATTTGAAATGCTCCTCAGCTAAATGACAAGTTGACCATAGAAAATGACAAGTTCACTTTAGTGAATGACAATATTATTAGATTAAATCACAACTTGGTTAAAAATATATCAAGTGACAAGTTGACTATGAGAAATAATAAGTTTACTTTAACGAATAATAACTTCAATAGATCAAATCAAAACTTGGATGATGAGCATTTTAAATATTTTCTTAAGATTTCATATTTGTAATATGAGACTGAGTCCTTCATGATAATTTTGCTTATTCAGATCACTTCTGCATAATTTTGGTGATTTGAGAGTCTTTGTTTGTTATTTTCCCAAATAATAAGGAGCGTTTTTTTTGCCCTTTTAAAGACACTTCCACGTACGAACAACCCCAGTAGTCAGGGGTCAGGCCGAGAAGCAAAGGCTCGAGGTTTGAGGACTTGAAGTCTTTGTAAACCCTAGGCGTACTTCGCATCGCATCCATTTCTTTCCGCGCATTTTAGCGGGCGCCATTCCAAAAGACCGAACTAAAGACCCAGTCTCTCTCCCTCTCCACCCCTCTTCTCTTCCCTTCGAGCGGTGAAAAATGATAAACAAAGAGGAAAACGAAACCAGGGGGAAGAGAGAGAGAAATTATATGCCTTTAATCTAAATTCTAGATATTCAATATACATAGTGTGTGTGTGTGTGTGTGTGTGTTGATCCCAGAGGAGATTGAGGAGGAAGAGATAGGAGAGGATTATGGGAAGCAGCTTTCTCGCTCCACCAGTGAAGAAGCGGTCGATATTGTACTCTGAAGCTGGTTTGGCCGACCCCAACCCGTATGCAGCAAATGGGTCATCCAAGCGCTCCAAGTCCAAGCACCCACCGCCTCCCCTGAGTATCCCCCCGGGTCATATCGCTTTCCGATTGCTCTGCCAAGCTTCCCGAATCGGCGGCGTAATTGGCAAGTCTGGCTCCGTCATACAGAACCTCCAGCAAGTTACGGGGGCTAAGATCCGCGTCGAAGATGCCCCATCCGAATCACCGGACAGGGTCATTGTTGTGATTGCGCCGAGTGCTCTCAGCGGCAAGGTTTTTCTTAGACCCCAGAGTCAGAATTTGGATTCGGAACCGGCTGAGGAGGGTAGCGATAATGGGGATGACGGCGGCGAAGATGAAGCTGTTGACGTCTCGAAAGCTCAGGAAGCACTGTTAAAGGTGTTCGAGAGGATTTTGGATGTTGCGGCGGAGACTGAGGGCATTAAAGTGGAGGATGGAGTAGTGTCCTGTAGGCTGCTGGCGGATGCGGCACAGGTTGGGGCGGTCATTGGGAAGGGAGGGAAGGTGGTGGAGAAGATTAGGAAGGACAGTGGATGTAAAATTAAAGTTTTGGCAGACAAGTTGCCTCCTTGCACTGCCCCATCGGACGAAATGATTGAGGTAAGACGGTTAACACTATTTCCTTATATAGGAGATAATGGTAGTGTAGTGTTTTTGTAGCCTGCTTTATAGCTAGTGGAGTGTAGCGTTAAGCAGACTAAAGAAATGACATTACGGCTTAATACTGTGAAGTAGTTTGAGTTCTATATGGGCTTGGGCTTTGCTAAACAGCGGAGGGGAGTGTTTTGTATAATATTTTACTTTAAGATTTGTTATATTTAAGATATCCTGATGTGAAGATACTTTCAATTGAAGTAGTATTGGATATAAAGAGGACATGACCTCTGGTCTGGAGGTAGAGAATAGAAGATCACCGAGAGGATTCGTGAATTTGTAGTTGATTGGTGGTTTAGGGGAAATTATGATTTTTCTATTAGTATTTTCAACTGATAATTTCTGAAAGCGTTCTTGATGCTTGACATTAGATATTCTTACTTCACTAAACTTGATGAAGGTTAGGATGGATTTTTCGTTATCATTGTCCAGGGCCAAGGATGCAGATAGTTTGGTTTGGAGAGCTAATATCCTCAACTTTTGGTTCTTTTTTTGGGCCTCATATGTAAAAGATTAGTCTAAATGGACTAGACTCAGGATTTTATCTATAAATCAGAACTAACTCAGAATCTTAATTTAATTTAATTTGAGTAAGAAGGTAAAATATGAGTTAATTTGAACCTTTTTAAGAAAATCTGGAATGTTTGATTATCTAACTGGTCATCATGACTTGAGCCTGAGTTTGATCTAAAGTTACAGCTGAAAGAGACCATGTTATTGGAAACTCTGGGCCTTCACTGGGCATCAAATGGACCGCTTCTACTTGACTAGTTCTCAGTCATCTGGTTTAAAGCATGATTTGGTAATAGAAAACCAAAGTATAGTTGTAAAGTCCTCAACTGGCATTGAAATTCGAAAAAACTCATGCTATGTGTTGGTCATGCTTGGACCTGAACAAGTTCTCGTAGTTAATGTCCCACACTAGCAAAAGGGGCAACTTGTATGATACTTCCCGGTTACAACCCCTTGTTTGGAAAAGCGATGTCCTTGTTATTTGAGTTGAAGTCAGTTGCCTTGGATGTTCCTTACTCAGTATCATCTCCCCTCCCACGTCTCTCTGTGGCCGAAGTTTGCAGTGATGAATGAAGAGGATAGGTGAGCTAGTGATGCTGGTACTTGGTAGGTCAAAGAGTGAGTGGGCGTAGTTAGTAGTGATCTAGTAACATGTTTGATGTAGGCAGTGGGTTGAAGTTCTTAATTCATCGTAATGCAATTTGTAACGGGTCTTTTTACTTAATATGGATTAGAAATTTTCAGGCCAAATAAAATATACATCGGAAATTTGAGGGTACTTTCTAAATTATATTTTATTTAAATCATGAGTATATTCAGTCCTAATTAATTTTAATGAACCTTCCTTAATTAAACTTCCATAAGGTCTTTTGTTCTTTAGTTAATTTGTCCTCACACTAATCCTCGGTAAGTGCATGTCAACTGACTAAAGTCTTGGTATGACAATATACACCAAGAGAAATGGATGGTTAATGTGATTGTGGTTCACTGCTGAGGGCATAATTTGTGATTTATCACAATTCATTCACATGGTGAAACTATTCAACAGAACTTGATATTAGCTCATGTCACCTGCATGTTGTAAGATTTTAGTATTTTTATGGCTTCTACATAGTCAATATATAATTGTATAGTGCGTTTGTATAATGTGGCTATGCTGGCTAATATCTTTTTAAAACCAAAAAAGGACCTACAGGAAGGTGTTATATGTATGGTCACCTCATTTCAAAACAGTCTATCTTTTGGGCTTGGCAGCGAGATTGTTCTTCCTTCTGAATGTAAATTCTCTAAAATATGAATTTTTTTCTTGTTTATTTTGAAAGCAAGCATTCATTTGACTTCTTTAAAATCTCTTAATCCTGCTTCTCTGTTTATTTGATGAGAAGTTGAAGGTGGAAACTTGAGCCAATTTTGGTAGTTGAAATTAATGTAATCTATGTTGATTAGGACAACTTCCAAAATGTGACTTGTGGGAGTAAAATCTCACTGAACATGTCTACCTAGTTCATTATTGGAACAATTTGTTTGATCAATTAGTCATAGAGCTCCACATCTAGTTTTGACACTGCTGTACCGGATTTGGGAAGTAGCCAAGAACTTATTGGGTCATTGCCCTATCTGAAAATTAGGTTAGGTTAATCTCTCTTTACTGACTGCATTATAGAATAGGAAATGTGCTGTATGTGGTAGATGAAATGTGATATTGAACTCTTAATTTAGTGGCTTATAATTGTGACGTTTCCTGACTGACTGATCATAGAACATGTTGCAATGATTACTGAGCTTCACTTGATACAAAATCTGTAATTTATATTTTAAATTAAGGAAATGCATTATTATGCTATGGCAGATAGAGGGCAATGTGCAGTCCGTGAAGAAGGCACTTCTTGCTGTTTCTCGCCGTCTTCAGGATTTTCCTCCATCCAGCAGGACAAAAATCTGGGGTAGCAAGCCTCATGAAGTGGTTCAACATGAAAGCTTAGGCGCAGTTCCCCATGATACTTTAACCATAGTTCCACGTGAGACTTTACCTCATTTGCATGCAGACCACCTTCTGCAGAGAAGCTCTGTGGTATCTTCTATGCCCAGCAGCTATGCTTCAGGAGTTCATTCAGTGTCGGCTGAGGTAAACAGAGTCTCAACTCTGGATCCAACAACACTTAAGCAGGAAGTTTCCTTTAGAATTCTTTGCTCAAATGATAGGGTTGGTGGTGTAATTGGTAAAGGTGGCAGCATTGTTAGAGCCCTTCAGAATGAGACTGGGGCTACTATAAGTATTGGTCCTTCAGTAGAAGAATGTGAGGACAGATTGATTACTGTTACTGCTTCTGAGGTTTGTTAAAGATCATTGTTTTACTTCTACTTCTGCTTGTTGTAGTTGCATGTCATCACTATAGTTATTCATATAATCATTGTGATTGTGGCTCTAATACCAAATGATAGGAACCAAGAGTATAAACAATAATATGCAACTAATGAAACAGTAAAATGGTTCCTAACAGTGGAATAATACTCGAATACGCATTAATGAATGACAATCTTCCTACTTAGTGGGAGGTAGGAAGTTACAAAATAGTTCACACACTCACAGCTCATACGTTGGACCTCACATTCGAGAGGTCAGCTCTTTCCTCACCATACTCATGCAAACCGTCCTGCCTCCCCCAAGCTACAACGGCTAATATATTCAAAAGTAAACAGCACAGTCTCCCAAAATACAATAACCTAGTACACAGACCTAAAGGACATTAGAGTATGCTACTTTCTCCAAAAATGTAGGAAATAGAAGTCAACTCCCTGGTTGCTGAGAAAGGACTGTTGCCTTTTGCTTGCTTCTGCCTATGTCGCCTCTTATAGGTATTTTTAAATAGGTTGACGCTATCAGTGGCTTATTGATTTATGTGCAGAATCTTGAATCAAGATATTCCCCAGCACAGAAGGCTGTTGTCCTTGTTTTCTCCAGGGCTGTAGAAGCAGGCATTGAGAAGGGGTTAGACTCAGGATCAAAGGGGTCATCTGTTGCTGCAAGACTTGTGGTTTCATCAAACCAAGTTGGTTGTTTATTGGGGAAAGGAGGATCAATTATCACAGAAATGCGGAAAGCAACTGGTGCTAGCATAAAAATAATGGGGACTGACCAGGCTCCAAAATGTGCATCACATAACGATCAATTAGTGCAGGTTTGCACATTGATTCTTCTTTGCTTCGTACAATCAAAGGATGTTGAAGAATGCCATTTGTATTTCAATTTCACTATATTCTTTTACCCTAGTGTTATAATTTTCCTCTGATTTCATCATACGTTGCTCTTAGATGCCCAAACATGTTATATTCATTTGTTACTTAGATGATTTTTCGATTTTTCTCCGAGCCTAGCATCTTACATAATATTCGGCTCTCCCTTTGTAAGCTTATGTAGACTGTTAGCACATGCACTGCTATTTGCCTCAAATCAATACATTATTCCCTTCAAAAGAAATGTGTATTGTAAGTGATACTTTCTCCCTTATTTGAAGAGTAGGAATCTGATAGACTGATACTGGAGAAGTAGGTGTCTCTTCCCTCTTCCTTATGGGCTTGTAGTATAGCCTTCATCTTTGGGCTAGCCAAACTAGCTTATGCATGTATTGGGCTTGAAATTGCTATAGGAGCTATTTCTTGTTCTTCATTTATGTACTTGTACAATCCTCATAGGAAATCTATTATTTTCATTCAGACTAACCAAAAAATGGCTTGCATGATATCCTTTATGATGCCCATGTTAATTATGCAAACTGTTATTTTCTATCAGGAATAAAAAATAAAAATTACATGAACCAATATGACATTAAGAATCAGTTTCCTGGTAATAATGAATACGGAATTCCTGAACAGTTTCTTTCAAGATCCTAGTACTAGAGATGTAACAGTATGATATAGATTCTTGTTGCCTACGAACACTTTCCTGTCACACTGATTTGAAGCTGACAAGATAACCATCTCTCTTTTCTTTTTCTTTTCCTTTTTTTTTTTTTTTTCCTTTTGCTCATTTTTAAGTTTTATTCTTCCCCGTCCCCCTTTTTTCTGAACTTTCCTCCTCTAAACACACACACACACATACATGCATAAGATATTAACTCCCACTTCATACAGTTTACTGTATCCTCTTTTGTCCCCTCAGATATCTGGAGAGTTTTCAAATGTTCAAGATGCTTTGTATAATGCAACTGGCAGATTGCGAGATAATCTTTTTTCCAGCACACAGAACAGTGTTGGAACTAAAACCATGACCTCTGGATTACCTGATGCCAGTCCTCATGGGAGATTGAGGGATCCTGTTCCGATTGGTGTCCAACCGGCCATCGGTGTTTCTCATAGTTTGAGCAGACATACTATGTCTCAAAACATTGATCAAGTTGTTTCTCGCTATTTAGATAACTCCTCTTCACCAGGGTCATGGGCACCACGGGTATTCCTTTCTTTCTGCTTTCTGTTTTTCCATTTCAATTTGTTCCCTATTTATATCAATAAATTTGCATTGAATGCAGATGGTTTCTGGGATAAACTCAAGAGGCGTTAATGATGTTGGCAGGGGATTGACTTCTCTAAAAGGTGGCTTAGAACTTGGCAGGTTGGTGATACACGAACAAGTGCACTAGACTTGTGTGAATGCAAAGCTATAATTTCAGATATAATGAACTATAGGCTTTCTTGGAACCTTTCAAGCTTTTTGTGTGTTATGATTTATACTATGCAACTATATCGTTTAAATTTATCTTAATAATGATATAATTATGACACATCAACGAGACATGAAAGTACAGTATGGTTGGTGTTCTACATTTTACTGTATTTGATCAAATATGTTAGATGCGTTAAATGTTATTAGTAAATAGAATATTTTCACAATGGAATCCCAGCACAGGCCTTGGTCTCTTGGTTTGTTGGTTCACCTGGCAACCGTAGAAACCAGGTATTTTTCTTGCATGTAACCCTTCCAACTCTCTTTAGAGACTTCTGATGTGGAAGCCTTAAAGGTCGCCACCATCATCACAAAGGAGCTGTAACATTTATAAGTTGTCCAAAACCTGCTAATTCGGTTTTATTCTATCTGGTTCCGTGGCAAGTGATTTTCCCAGAGTCAGGTTGACTGTATTGAACATATATGCCTGGCTGATCTACAGTTAGACCAGTTGAACTGACTAGTTGAAGGGCTTTCACAAAATTGGCCTTCGAGTTTAGCAGCACTTTTTGCACATTGTCTGTACCTGTGCGACAATGCTAATTGGACCCTTTGTTTTGACACCTAAATTCAGTGATGCTTACCACATAGACTGCATAAGATTATTATACTTAAATATCATCTACCATTTCGTTTTACATCAATTATTCTGGGATCATGGCACATTTGCATTGTTTTTGTTTTTGTTCCCCCCCCCCCCCCGGGGGGGGGGTTAACGCCCTTTTCATAGAGTAAAGTCGTAGCTTTGTTGTGAGCCTATAGCAGGCTTTCTGATGAGTGTTTCCCCCCTACAGTGGAAGCAAAATTGCCATGGTGACTAACACAACTGTAGAAATTGTTGTTCCTGATGATGTCATTGGCTCGGTGTATGGGGAAAATGGTAGCAATTTGACTCGTCTGAGAAAGGTATAAGCTCAGAAGCATATACACAAATATAATGTTCTTGTTTAGTAGTTAATCATTAGCTACTAACCACTTGCCCAACTGGAGAAAATAATTATCAATTAAAATCTTCTCTGCAAACTGCATATTTAGATTGGATGATACATCTACATCTGCATAGCCTATTGCTTCGTAATCATAATTACATTATGAACATATCATGGATGCTTCTTTTTCCCCCCTTTATTCGTGACTTGAGCAAGCTATTCTCTTGATCAGATTTCAGGTGCCAAGGTTATTGTCCATGAACCTCGTCCAGGAACAAGAGAAAGGACCATTGTCATATCTGGTACACCTGATGAAACCCAAGCAGCTCAGAGCCTTCTTCAAGCATTTATCCTCACAGGTTCTTCATGACTGAAACCCCAGGGATGGCCTTTTTTCCTTGTCCTTTCACTCAATTTTCCCCACTTCTATTCATGTACATTAAAATGGAAATATTTAGGTCTTGTGGCAAGCCAATCCAGGCATTTTTCGCTTAATTGAATCCATCTCAAGTAAATCACTCAACATTTGTTTACTGATTCAATGCCACAACAACTTGATTCTGTAGGGATAATTTAGTGTAAGCCTTCATCAGACGGTATTCTCATCACGGATGATGGAACCCTTTAAGAATTTATGCTCAATGATAGAAAATAATCCAGAGTGTAAGACTGTTAAATCTAATTATTTAAGCTATAAAAAATAACGAAAATGGAAGAAAATAGCACTTTTTTGGCAGAAAGGAAAAAAAAAGAACCACAAATAACGCACAATTTCCCCTCTCTAGCTTTTGAGCGTAGAGATTCTCCTCAACGCCTTGTTGTCTGAACCCACACTGAACCTCATTTTATGCGCTCACACATGCAAAAGCAGAAATACTCAAAAAAGAAAAGAGGAGGAGAAAACCAAAAACCGAAGAGCAAGAATAAAGCCGAAATATTGAGCAGTGGAGGGAAACCTGAACGGAGAAGTCAGCTCCGTCGTTTGCAGGCCCCGGCATCTACAAATCCAAGCATGGACAATATTAAGAAGGAAGCCTAAAAAACATGAGAAAGAAAAATCATCGACAAAAGATATTATTTTATATTATATATCAATTAAAATAGAATATTAAATTCTAATGTTAAACTAAGAGGAATTGAACCATCCAATCTAATTAGGGGGTGTGCATGACATGGTGCACGTCTTTGCGACTGTTGGCATAGTTTCATTTTGTGGGACTTGAATACTAAATAGCCATAAGCTGGCAAAAATAATCATTTTGAATTTCATATCATGTTTAATAGCATTATGTCCAAAGTGAATAATTTTATAATGTTTATAAGTCGATTGCTTATCACCCTGAAAGATTTTGTATTCTCAAAAATGGAGGCCTATAAATATATGCCATGTAATAAGGTATCCAAAAAGATTGGAAAACTTAGTGTGTTGATCCATGTAATTTCCTTCAAAATTGCCAATAAGTGATTATACTTTTAATTACAAATCTTAACCCCTCAAGAATGCATATGTTGGGAAGTTATATCCAAAACTCTCAACATTTTTCAATGGGATCCATATTGATCTCTTATTTCAATTATTTGTAATGCACTACCTTGTCCTTAATATAAAAATTAATCTTAATTTTAATTTGGTTCTAAATATAACATCTCAATTTATTTTGTTTCTTATATATATTTTTTTTAAAGTAATCCCTATAATAGTTATACAAGTTAAATGTTTCATCAAATAGAAATTGTAGCTAATACACATAATTAGCAAGAGTATTTTAGAGAAGACAATACCTATTTATTATAAATAACTAATTTAACACTTTTAATCTGCTCAAATTAGTCAACTAGCTCTTATGTTAAGGACCAGAAGTAATATAAATCATAATGTTCATTGTCTTTGTAGAGAAATAAAATTAAAATTGTGTGAGACGCAAGTCATTATTCATAAATCATAAAGTAATATTTGCTGTAACTTCTATATTCCTATATTGATATTGATAATTTGCTCAAAGAAATGACAGGAATGCTGCAAAGAATCACATGAAATGGTTCATTCATCTTTCTCACACTCATATTTATCTCAAACAGTGGTTTTGAGTAAATACACTTAAAAGAGAGTTGCTTGCCATACAAACACTTATCCACACATAAAATGGCATTACACAAACCATAAGAGAATCAAGCAGCAGAAGAGAAATTTTAAGGTATAACATAGAAGCATGGTCAAAGATTTATTTTCACACTATAATAAAGGCTTGCTTGTGCAGGCTGAATTCCCATCCGATGAATGTACTGCTTTATACTATAGCTAAGAATTTCTCAGGGCTAAGAATTTCTCTCAACTCTTCACAGGTTCATCAGTTGGCTTGAGCGTGATTTCAACATTATCATGGACTCCTTGGAGCAGAAGCTCGCCATCATATGTCACTACTTTCCTCTTCTTCGCTGCTCTTAGCGTCCCAACGAGTGCCTCAAATATATTCGCACATTGCTCATCATTGAACAGTGTGCCAAATGTGACCTTCAGAATACAAGCCATGTCTTTTTCATCACAAGAGAGTGGTGACATATGCCGAAAGTATATTAGCTTATGACTGTACTTAGTTGAGATATTCTTTTAAAGATCAAATTATAGACATGCTAACAATCATTATATCATCAATATTCAATGTATGATGTAAAATGTACAGCATGCCACGCTTCTTACAAGTTATCAATAATACAACTCATTCCTCTAACTCTCTGCAATAGATGGGAAACATGTCTAGTTTATATAGTAAAGTCCACTTTTGACGAACTTTGTCTCCTTCTGCTACTGGTTTTGCCCAAGCGTATTTTGTGTTTGTCAGCAAAATAAGTCCAAAAATATTAAAGTTGAACAATGCACTACCATAACTTGCATATACATAATTTCAACAAGACTCAAAAACACTGCCCTTTGCTAGATGCATCGTTATAAGCAAGCAAATGTACGAATGTATATCAGTATGTAAGCAACGCAAACTATCTCAAGCCTACCAGCCTATTGTTAAGATAATACAGAAGTGTGTTTGCCTTGCTGGCTCAACGAACTAAATCCGCGCCTTAACAATTCGTAGAATACACTGAGAACATGACTTGAAATTACTGATTCATAGAGAGGCTGTCTAAATTCTTGAAATAAGTTAACACACGGAAAGGGGGCCAAAGAAAGCTAATATTTCTTGATATTGTTCATTTAACCATGCATTAATTGACCGGTCCCTGCATGCTATCTATGGCTGAGGTAATATTTCAACAATTTGTGAGTCGCGAAGAAGTTTTCACAGTGTTTTAACAAACCAATTCAGTAACCGGAGCTCTATCAAGGAGCAAAGAAATCAACCGTACGCCTTTCCTTGCTGTGATGTTCTTTTGTCTGTTTGCTTAGATAGACTGAAGGGGTCAGAAATGGGAGCAAGGACAAGACATTGAAGATGGAATAGAATGGAAAAGACGATGGTGCTTACTGATCACTTCTGAACACAAAGGAAAGATAAATGTTTCTTGCAGCAGTACATCACTATGACAAAGACTGTTGTTACTCCGTTTCTTGTTATCCCACCAGAATTTAACTAGTTTCAGATCTGAGTATAATGGTAGAATTAAACCTCAATTTCTCATCTTCTAGGATCTCTTCAAAGGGAGCACATAGATCCAGAGCTGGATACGAATAATGTAGAATAAACTAACAGAGCAAGGAACAGATCAATATATGGCACTACGATCTAGATCCCAATACAAAATGTCAGATTCGTTTCACCAAAATCTGCATCAAGAGCAGAAAGATTCAATCTCAAGATTTAAGAGGAAAGGAAACAGGAAAGGAAACCTTTTTTGGGTACCTTGTAAGAGCCATCCGGTTGGGCTTGGCCAAGCCTCTTGATTTCTTGTTTGAGTCGCCCAACTTCTTCCTCTACGTTCATGGCTTCAACAGTTTCAAGGCCTTCTCAGCACCAAAATGAGAAGATTTTTTCCCCCTCGCCCCTGATGAAGTTTCTGTCAGCTACTTATATTTCTCGTCCGTGAATATTTTTCCTGGAAAATAGGGGACTTGCCACCAGTGCTGATAAGGGACCTTATGCAAATAATAAAGATGATATTGCCATTAACGTATAAAAATAATTCTAGCCAATTATGTAAGAAAGTTAATTATTACTGGGAAGCTACCGCTCATGAATTATGAATAATTCTGTTATAATTTTACAATGCACACAAAATTTGAGCATAGATATTTTGTCATAAAATTAACGAAAATAATTTTTTTAAACATAAAAAGGGATATACAAGAGTAACCTGAAAGTACCAACAAAATTAACAAAAAAGAACCAAAAATTTTTTACACCTTATAAAGTAATACATTGAAGATAAAACTTTAATAACTTTTGAAAATAACAGCATGGGTTTTATACTACAAAAATAATTCTTATATTTAGGATAAGATGATTATATAAATGTAATTTTTAGTCCCTCAATTTTGTTCTCATTTCGATTTTGGTTCTTAAGTTTTAAATCATAAGTTCTGATCTCTCAAGTTTCTTTTTATTTAAAACTTTGGTCCATATAATTCAATAAAAACTTGGACCATTTTACCACTTATGGGATCAAAATCTATGGTTTAAAACTTGAGAAACTAAAACTAAAATGAGAATAAACTTAAGGAATGCAAAATTATATTAACCATATATAATAAACAAAGAGGATTTTAGCAAACATATATAATTTAAAAAATAAAATGAATTGAGGACTGGACTTTAAAACCAAAATACATTCTTCTATTTTCTTTTATATTTAGGAGGGAAAAAAATTAAATAAGAATGCATTAATAGTCACAATTACATTGTCATGCTACACCACTAATATTTGATAATTATTAAAAATTTTAATAACAAGTAATAAGCATAAAACTTAGAAAAAATGACAGTAAAATACCATGTGAATTTCAAAAAGACAAATAAGGCACCTGAATAAGCAAAATGACAAATAGGGCACTGGGTACCAATTTGGAATTTAGATTTTTGGCCTAATGACCAAATTGCCCTGTCTGAAAATGAGAGAAAGCAAAGAGGAAGATGCTGATGAAACACGGGAAGAAGGAAAGAAGAATGTTGAAAATGCTATTATCTTATTCCTCCGCATCACTATGTAGACATTATTGCTTTGGTGGGTTTTGGTTGTGGGAAAGAGGATTTATAGTAAGAGAGGGAGTGAATGTAACATACTTTTTTTTTAAAAAAAACTGCAAATCAAAATATATATAATATTTTATTAGTAAAAAAAAAAACCCCCTTTCCACGGAGAGTTGAAAATCGGGGGGGTTACTAAGAAGGGAAAAGATGGGGGAAGGGAGTGATGTAAGTTGAAAAGAAGGGAGGAGTATTAAATGGAGCAAGAAAAAGAAAGAAAAGGAACGGATGAAGGAAGAATTTGGAGAAAAACAATAAATGAATGAAGAAAATGGGAGGAAGGATAGTTGGAAGTTGGGAGGAGTGAGTTTAAAAGAGGGGGAGAGGAGACGGAGGAGGAAGAGAGATCAAAGGAAGAGAGAAGAGAGTGAGAAGCAAAGAGGGAAAGAGAGAGAAAGCTAAGTTGCAGAGCACCTGACAAGTTTTGGGGATCATTTAGGTACATAAATATACTTCTTTTTACCATATTTTCTTTATGAGTATTTCCTATATATTTAGAACTTTAAATTATTAGTATCATTATAATGTTTAGAGAAAATTTACTGTTTGGGTATAGAGTAAATATAGAGTTTTGACAATATATGACCGTAGAAATTTAAAGATCCATTATTAAGGAATTTTAATCGGTTTATTTTTGTTTAATGATTATTTTGAGAATTTTAAACTAAGATTTTAGTTGAAAAGTTTGTTATTTAGACTTGTAATATGTTTTTACCGATTAAATTTGAGTTAAATAATTTATTTGAGTTATTTAATATATTATTGAGGCTTTAATCGGTTTAAATATTGAATAAGTTAAATATATATTTTTGAAATAATTTTTGAAGGCTCGAAAAATTATAAATTGAGAATTTTGTGAAATTAAATAAAGTTACAGTTTGTTTATAATTAAATATATATATATATACTTTTGTTAAATTTAAATAGCCTTATATGTAAATTATTTTTCAAAATAATATCTATTATAAATGCCTAGATTTGGGAGAGTTAATATATTTATGTAATTTTGATTTAGAGGGTAGTCTTAGAATTTTAGAGTAGCTTTGGAATAGTTTTGAGTTTATATTAATAAATATTTATGTGCAATCTTGTAGACTTCAGAATTTTGGAGTAATCTTTGTGTGAATATTTGTAAGCTAAAGAGTACCAGGTAACTCTGAAAATTCTTTCTTGTACATGTGAATTGTGTATGATTGTATTATGAATTTACTATATTTTTATATATTGAAATATAATATTGTGATTTTTCAAATAAATGTTTTGGAATGTTATTTGATTTTGTTAAGATTTATTGCTATTAATTATTATTAATATTTAAATATATTGATGGCTATGGAATTGTCATGAGTTGTTATTAAGTGGTATATAAGTTTTATTGCTATCTTATTTTTAATATATTTGCTGACGTATTTATGATGTAATATTATTGGCATCTGACATGCATTGTTGGGCTAAGGATAGAAGGAGATTGTATGGATATAAAATTACCACGTGGTATGCCATCACTCGGTGCACAGTGGATGGCACTTGTCAGGGCCCCTTCTTCCATGTTTTCCTTTGGCCGGGAATTCATTGGAGCTGTGGGACATGTGACACCTCCCTATTCACAAAGGAGGGGAGCCATAGTCCGAGCTTGAGCTCTATATCTTTGGCCGGATATATCTCTTGTATCGGTGAGCTTGGAATAATTCAGTAAAATGGATTAGCTCCTATCGGACTATGTGTTAGCCTATGGCTCCAGTCAGCGGTATAAGGGTGGACGGTGATATGAGGGAGGCAGCATATTGCATTATTTTTGGATATATTGAAAAAGAAAAATGAAATTGAATTGAATGTATCAAATCTGTGATTTTTAATGTATACATATATACAGACCTATAAACAGATTTTTGGTTTATCATATATGATTTGCTTGTATAGGTTAGAATTCCAGTAGTTACTGAGACGTTTGATCTCACCCCCTATATTAACAATTTTCAGGCGAAGGATCTAGTAGGAATCAAGGGAAGGCACCAACGGAGTGAGCCGTGAAGGCTTTTGTGCTCCTCAGGCACATGCTATGTTATATTTTTATTTGCCATGACTATAAGACTTTAATAGTTTATGTTGTTAAGTTATGTTAGAAATGTTTTGAAATTTTGACTTATTTGCAGTATTAAAAATATGTATGGACTTTTAAATTAAATATTTTATCGAGTATATTGATATAATTATGTGAGGTATTACATTTTTGGTATTAGAGCTATAACGTTCCATGGCTCTTTAATTAACTTTTATGTAAAATATTTTTCCAAAAAGGGTTTAAGAAAACAAAATTTTGCTAGAGGTCATGGCAATTTAAATATAATAACATGTGCACTTCCCTTTAGTTTTTAGATTAAAAGTTTATTTTAGTACTGTTGCTTAGTTTACCTAGTGTCCCTGTGCTATTCTACATAGGAAGGAAGGATGGTGAACACTCGAAGGACTAACTCTACCCCAGTTCCACATCAAAATGTTCCTTCTCGTCAAGATAATGATGCTATTTTGCGAGAATTACGAGATTATGTTGTGAGCATTGATCGAAGAGTGAGGAGACAAGAGGATGAGCTGTTGGTAATCAAAGGTCAACGTGATAGTCATCAAGAAGAAAATGGCCCTGTTAATGATGAAGCTCCCAGTGATCACCAGTCAATAGGTGATACCCTTAGAGGCACTGAATCGAAAGGTGGTAGCAGTGCACATTCTCAACAAGACCTTGCGCATATCACACTGCTCTGGGAAAGTTTTAGAAAATTTGATCCTCCTAAGTTTGAGGGTAGGCTGAATCCATCTGAAGCTGAAGAATGGATCGAAAGGCTGGAGACTATATTCAAAATAGTAATCTGCACCTCGCAGGAAAAAGTGCAACTTGCTGAGCAGCTGTTACAAAAGGCAGCAAGGAAGTGGTGGGACAAGCATCAAGCCTTTTGAAAGTGTAGAGATAACTTGGGAAAGGTTCAAGGAGAAATTCTTCCAACACTATTTTCCTAATGCCCTTAGAGCGGATCAAGAAGCAGAATTCTATGCCTTTAAGCAAGGGAACTTAAATGAGGAAGACTTCATTGCTCGATTTCTCGAGTTAGTTAAGTACATTACTTATCCGCAGACGCAACCTGACTCAAAATGGATGGCTGATAGACTACTGGAAAAGGCTAGGCCAGAATTAAGAACAGCTCTAGCACCCTTGGAGATTAATGATTTTGAAAAAATGTGCACCAAATTGCGAATCATTGCTAGAAGAATGAGAGAAGAAGAAGCTGAGAAGAGAAAAGAATCTTATACAAGGTCCGTTCCATTCATGAGACCTGCGGGAGGAATCAGTAAGAAGAATACTTACAGCTTCAACAACTCCAAGAAGCGGTTTAATCAGCCCTCGAGGAATCAATCTGGTGGACCTTCGAGGAGTCAATTCAGTGGACCCTTGAGGAGTCAATTCAATGGACCTCCGAGGAGTCAGGTCAGTGGGGGACAGAGCTCTTACAGGGGCTCTACAGCTCCTATCACTAGCACTGCAATAGTCAAAGGTGTGCCAAGTGTGGGAAGGTGCATCAAGGAAATTGCATTATCTGCTTCAAGTGCGGGAAACCGGGCCACATTTTCAGATTCTGTGAGGAAGGCTCAAGGTGTCAATGATACTAGAGCTGCAGTCCCAGGAAGAGTGTTCGCTCTATCTCAACAAGAAGCTGACACTACCCCTAATTTGATTAAAGGTATTCTCAAACTCCAAGGCTTTGAAACTCAAGCTTTATTTGATTCTGGTGCAACACACTCATTTATATCTAATGATTATGTGCCTCGTCTAAGTATGCATATGTATGAATTGCCTTGTGATGTGATTGTCTCTACACCGGCGGGAGCCTCGGTGAAAACTTCTAAAGCATGCTTGAATTGCATGATTGAATTTGAGGGTAGAACATCCACTATAGACCTTGTTTCTCTACCCTTAAAGGGTATTGACCTGATTGTAGGAATGGATTGGTTGTCGGCAAATGACGCCATCCTAGATTGTAGAAGGAAGACCATTTCTTTACCGGTCGCCTTCGCCAGTTCTAGTGGGCCACAACTGCTGTCTTTAGTGCAAGTTGAAAAGTGTATTCGAAAGGGTTGTCAAGCCTACATGGTGTTCTTCTCCATTCACACAACAGCTGAAAAAGGTGTAGAGGAGATTGCAGTGGTGAGTGAATTCCCGGATGTGTTTCCAGAGGAGATAACAGGTTTGCCTCCGGAGAGAGAAGTGGAGTTCTCTATTGAACTTGCACCTGGAACCGAGCCTATCTCTAAAGCTCCCTATCGGATGTCTCCATCAGAATTAGCAGAGTTAAAGAAACAGATCGAGGAGTTGCTGGAAAAGGGCTTCATTAGGCCGAGTGTATCTCCTTGGGGTTCGCCTGTGCTCTTTGTGAAGAAGAAGGATGGGAGCATGAGATTGTGCATTGATTACCGCCAATTGAATAAGGTAACCATAAAGAACAAGTACCCTTTGCCCAGGATCGATGATCTACTTGACCAGCTATCTGGAGCGTCAATATTCTCTAAGATTGACTTAAGGTCAGGTTATCACCAACTAAGAGTTAGATCTGAGGACATCCCAAAAACTGCATTTAGAACAAGATATGGCCACTATGAATTCCTTGTTATGCCGTTTGGGCTAACCAATGCTCCAGCTGTCTTTATGGATTATATGAACAGAATCTTCCGACCTTACTTGGATAAATTCGTAGTGATCTTTATTGATGACATCCTTATTTACTCTAAGGATGAGGAAGAGCATAAACAGCATCTTAGAATTGTGCTGCAAGTGTTAAGGGAACACAAACTCTATGCAAAGTTGTCAAAGTGTGAGTTTTGGCTCAAAGAAGTAAAATTCTTGGGTCACGTTGTATCAGCTGAAGGTGTGTCAGTAGACCCTAGTAAGATTGATGCAGTGTTAAAGTGGGACCGACCACAAAGTGTCACAGAAATCAGAAGCTTTCTAGGACTGGCAGGCTACTATAGGAGATTCATTAAAGGCTTTTCGCAGATAGCTATGCCCTTAACCAGACTAACTAAAAAGGAGCAACCGTTTGTTTGGACTGATAAATGCGAAGCAGCCTTTCAGACTTTAAAGACCAAGTTGACCACCGCACCGGTACTTGTGATTCCAGACCCTACACAATCTTTCACTTTGTATACTGATGCTTCTAAGAAGGGTCTTGGGGCTGTATTAATGCAAAATGGTAAGGTAGTTGCTTATGCTTCTCGACAATTGAGGCCGCATGAGGAAAACTACCCTACGCATGACTTGGAATTGGCAGCAGTCGTATTTGCATTGAAGATTTGGAGGCACTATCTCTATGGTTCGCAATTTGAAATTTTTAGCGACCATAAGAGTTTGAAGTACTTGTTTGATCAAAAAGAACTTAACATGAGACAAAGAAGGTGGATGGAGTTTCTTAAGGATTATGATTATGAGCTAAAGTATCATCCAGGGAAGGCAAACGTTGTAGCAGATGCCTTAAGTAGAAAATCTATCCATGCAGCCCAATTGATGGTCAAGGAGTGGAACCTGTTGCAGGATGTGCAAAGTACACCTATTGATATAATGTCTGGGTTAATTGCTACCATGAAAGCACTAACCATTGAGAGTACAACTTGGAAGGAAATTAAAATTGCCCAGTTGGAGGATGAGTATCTACTAGGGGTTAGGGAAGAAGTTGAACAAGGAAAAGAGTCCAAGTTTAATATTGGTGAAGATGGGATACTAAGATATAAAGCGAGGGTGTGCCTCCTCAATGATAAAGAGTTAAAGAAGCTACTACTTGATGAAGCTCATAGAAGCAAATATACTATCCACCCTGGAGTGACCAAAATGTACCATAATCTAAAGCGAAACTGGTGGTGGCCTAGTATGAAGAAAGATGTAACTGAGTTTGTCTCTCGTTGTCTAACTTGCCAAAAGGTCAAGATTGAACACCAGAAGCCTCCAGGATTATTGCAAAATCTAGAGATTCCAGAATGGAAGTGGGATAGTATCTCTATGGACTTTATCACAGGTCTTCCTAGAACTCAATCTGGGCATGATGCTATTTGGGTGATTGTTGACAAATTGACAAAATCAGCTCATTTTCTAGCCATCAAGACAAATTACTCTTTGGAAAAACTAGCACAGATCTATGTGAAGGAGATCGTCCGATTACATGGCACACCAAGGAGTATTATATCAGATCGAGATCCACGATTCACTTCAAGGTTTTGGAGATCGTTGCAGATGCCATGGGAACACGGTTGAGGTTTAGCATCGCCTACCATCCCCAAACTGATGGACAAACAGAGAGAACTATCCAGACTCTTGAGGACATGTTAAGAGCTTGTGCAATTGAATTAAAAGGAAATTGGGATGATCACCTTCCTTTAGCAGAGTTTGCTTACAATAATAGCTTCCACTCAAGTATTCAGATGGCGCCTTATGAAGCATTGTACGGAAGAAAGTGTAGATCTCCACTTTGTTGGACAGAGTTGAGCGAGAGAAGTTTGATAGGTCCAGAATTGGTGGATTACACAACTCAGAAGATTCAGATGATACAACAGAAGCTGCTTACTGCCCAAAGCAGACAGAAAAGTTATGCAGATAGGAGAAGACGACCATTGGAATTCATGGTAGGAGACCATGTATTTCTAAGAGTCACACCGATGACGGGTATTGGAAGATCAATTCGAGCAAGGAAACTCACTCCCCGTTTCATAGGTCCTTATGAAATTTTGGAGAGTAGGACCAGTGGCTTACAGAATTGCCCTACCTCCACAACTGGCCAATTCATAATGTATTCCACGTGTCACAACTCAAGAAGTACCACCCAGATCCATCTCATGTGATTGAGCCTAAAGAGATCGAGTTACAAGAGAATCTTACTTTCAAGGCCAAACCTGAATGCATTCTGGACGCTAAGGATAAGCAACTTCGGAATAAAACTATTCGGTTACTTAAGGTTTTCTGGAAAGGAATGTCTCCTGGGGATGCCACCTGGGAAACTGAAGAGCGAATGCGGCGGGATTTTCCTAACTTGTTTGATTAGGAAGAGTTAGTGTCGTGTGTTTTGGTAATTGTGTTGTATTTGTACTTGTTGTACTTGTGTTGTGCTATGTTGATGAGTAGTACTAATGATTGTGATTGCACCTGTTGCTTGAAGTAATTTTTTTTTTTCGTGTATCGAATTTTGGAGACAAAATTCTTTTTAGGTGGGAAGAGTTGTAACATACTTTTTTTTTTAAAAAAACTGCAAATCAAAATATATATAATATTTTATTAGTAAAAAAAAAACCCCCTTTTCCACGGAGAGTTGAAAATGGGGGGGGGGGTTTACTAAGAAGGGAAAAGATGGGGGAAGGGAGTGATGTAAGTTGAAAAGAAGGGAGGAGTATTAAATGGAGCAAGAAAAAGAAAGAAAAGGAACGGATGAAGGAAGAATTTGGAGAAAAACAATAAATGAATGAAGAAAATGGGAGGAAGGATAGTTGGAAGTTGGAGGAGTGAGTTTAAAAGAGGGGAGAGGAGACGGAGGAGGAAGAGAGAGAGAGAGTGAGAAGCAAAGAGGGAAAGAGAGAGAAAGCTAAGTTGCAGAGCACCTGACAAGTTTTGGGGATCATTTAGGTACATAAATATACTTCTTTTTACCATATTTTCTTTATAAGTATTTCCTATATATTTAGAACTTTAAATTATTAGTATCATTATAATGTTTAGAGAAAATTTACTGTTTGGGTATAGAGTAAATATAGAGTTTTGACAATATATGACCGTAGAAATTTAAAGATCCATTATTAAGGAATTTTAATCGTTTTATTTTTGTTTAATGATTATTTTGAGAATTTTAAACTAAGATTTTAGTTGAAAAGTTTGTTATTTAGACTTGTAATATGTTTTTACCGATTAAATTTGAGTTAAATAATTTATTTGAATTATTTAATATATTATTGAGGCTTTAATCGGTTTAAATATTGAATAAGTTAAATATATATTTTTGAAATAATTTTTGAAGGCTTGAAAAATTATAAATTGAGAATTTTGTGAAATTAAATAAAGTTACAGTTTGTTTATAATTAAATATATATATACTTTTGTTAAATTTAAATAGCCTTATATGTAAATTATTTTTCAAAATAATATCTATTATAAATGTCTAGATTTGGGAGAGTTAATATATTTATGTAATTTTGATTTAGAGGGTAGTCTTAGAATTTTAGAGTAGCTTTGGAATAGTTTTGAGTTTATATTAATAAATATTTATGTACAATCTTGTAGACTTCAGAATTTTGGAGTAATCTTTGTGTGAATATTTGTAAGCTAAAGAGTACCAGGTAACTCTGAAAATTCTTTCTTATACATGTGAATTGTGTATGATTGTATTATGAATTTACTATATTTTTATATATTGAAATATAATATTGTGATTTTTCAAATAAATGTTTTGGAATGTTATTTGATTTTGTTAAGATTTATTGCTATTAATTATTATTAATATTTAAATATATTGATGGCTATGGAATTGTCATGAGTTGTTATTAAGTGGTATATAAGTTTTATTGCTATCTTATTTTTAATATATTTGCTGACGTATTTATGATGTAATATTATTGGCATCTGACATGCATTGTTGGGCTAAGGATAGAAGGAGATTGTATGGATATAAAATTACCACGTGGTATGCCATCACTCGGTGCACAGTGGATGGCACTTGTCAGGGCCCCTTCTTCCATGTTTTCCTTTGGCCGGGAATTCATTGGAGCTGTGGGACATGTGACACCTCCCTATTCACAAAGGAGGGGAGCCATAGTCCGAGCTTGAGCTCTATATCTTTGGCCGGATATATCTCTTGTATCGGTGAGCTTGGAATAATTCAGTAAAATGGATTAGCTCCTATCGGACTATGTGTTAGCCTATGGCTCCAGTCAGCGGTATAAGGGTGGACGGTGATATGAGGGAGGCAGCATATTGCATTATTTTTGGATATAGTGAAAAAGAAAAATGAAATTGAATTGAATGTATCAAATCTGTGATTTTTAATGTATACATATATACAGACCTATAAACAGATTTTTGGTTTATCATATATGATTTGCTTGTATAGGTTAGAATTTCAGTAGTTACTGAGACGTTTGATCTCACCCCCTATATTAACAATTTTCAGGCGAAGGATCTAGTAGGAATCTAGGGAAGGCACCAACGGAGTGAGCCGTGAAGGCTTTTGTGCTCCTCAAGCACATGCTATGTTATATTTTTATTTGCCATGACTATAAGACTTCAATAGTTTATGTTGTTAAGTTATGTTAGAAATGTTTTGAAATTTTGACTTATTTGCAGTATTAAAAATATGTATGAACTTTTAAATTAAATATTTTATCGAGTATATTGATATAATTATGTGAGGTATTACAGTGAACCTGTGGGAAAGAAGTTAGTGGTGGGATTTGGATTATTCATTTTTGTGGCTGCTTCATGGTGAAATAGAAACAGGATTATTGCATTTGAGGGTTTATATTCAGTATTCGGTGAATGATGAAGCAGAAATAAGAAAACAATGGCAAGCAATTACGTAATGTAACTGTTGTCATATGCCTGCTGGTTTTTGGTAAATCCCATTACGTGAATGGTAGATTTTATTATACATGTAGTTAATTATGAAAGTTAATAGTTCAATATTTATTGTGACGTACTTCAGGTGCACGTTCACTGAATGATTTATTTATGCTTACAAGTTGCCTTTCCGGTGAAAACAAGTTTACAAAACCCATTGAAGAAGTGGTCACTTTCACTATAAAAGTTGTAAATCACATTATGTGTTTTGTAAAATTCAGCGTGAAATTTTGTTGGTGGTGAAAAGTAAGTTACTCATCCCCTAAAAATATGTTGCAAAACCTATTAACAAAGCGGTCACTTTTACTACAAAAGTTGTAAATCTCAGTATATGTTTTGTAAAATTCAACGTGAAATTTTATTAGTTTTTAGAAACAAGTTGCCCATCCCTTGAAAACTGGTTGCAAAAGCCATTTAAGAAGTGGTCATTTTCACTATAAAAGTTGTAAATCTCACTGTGTGTTTTGTAAAATTCAGCGTGAAATTTTATTGGTTTTTAGAAACAAGTTGCCAATCCTTTGAAAACATGTTGCAAAATCCATTGAAGAAGTGATCATTTTCACTACGAAAGTTGTAAATCTCACTATGTGTTTTGTCAAATTTAGCATGAAATTTTATTAGTTTTTAGAAACAAGTTGCCCATCCCCTGAAAACAAGTTGCAAAACCCATTGAATAAGTGGTCATTTTCACTACGGAAATTGTAAATCCCACTATATGTTTTGTCAAATTTAGCATGGAATTTTATTAGTTTTTACAAACAAGTTGTTTATCTCCTGAAAACAGGTTGCAAAACCCATTAACAAAGTGGTCACTTTCACTATGAAAGTTGTAAATCACAATATGTGTTTTGTAAAATTCAGGACAAATGGTTTAATAATACTAGAAAACCAGACAGCTTCACATTCTCTGAAAATGGTTTTATGCGAAGAACAAAGACAGAACCAAAAAGAGGAATGCTAGGCAATAACATTTTAAGCTGTGGGAACCTATCGAAAATGCTCTATGAAAAATAATATTTAAGCTTCCTACTTGTTTATCACAATTGATGTTACTTCAGCGACCTCTTCGACAGCGACAATCTCAGGGAGTACGAGTTCTTTCAGATAGGGCAATGTATTAACTTTCATAATTAACTATATGTATAATAAAATCTACCATTCACGTAATGAGATTTACCAAAAACCAGCAGGCATATGACAGCAGTTACATTACGTAATTGCTTGCCATTGTTTTTTGATTTCTGCTTCATCATTCACCGAATACTGAATATAAACCCTCAAATGCAATAATCCTGTTCCTATTTCACCATGAAGCAGCCACAAAAATGAATAATCTAAATCCCGTCATCAACTTCTTTCCCACAGGTTCACTCCCTCTCTTACTACAAATCCTCTTTCCCACAACCAAAACCCACCAAATCAACAATGTCTACAGAATGGTGATGGAGAGGAGTAAGATAATAGCATTTTCAACATTCTTCTTTCCTTCTCCCCGTGTTTCATCAGCGTCTTCCTCTTTACTTTCTCTCACTTTCAGACAGGGCAATTTGGTAATTAGGCTAAAAATCTAAATTCCAAATTGGTACCTAGTGCCCTATTTGTCATTTTGCTTATTCAAGTGCCTTATTTATCTTTTTGAAATTCACATGGTATTTTGCTGTCATTTTCCCTAAAACTTATTTTTGAAACATATTACAAAAACCTGTTATTAAATATTTTTTACTTGTCACTGACTTCTAGGTGATCAGATCACTTTCTTAGAACCTTGAAGGGAGCTCGCATTTAGCTAACCTGCCTCGCAGACTCGCCAACCTTCATTTCTTCAAAAAAAAAAAAAGTTTACATTCTCACGTATTTTAATTTTTAAATTAAATTACAAACTTTTATAGACTAACTTCTTCTTATTTTTATATTTTTATATAATTAAATAATTAAATTAATCTAAAAACTTGAAATATAAACATATAGGAGTAATTTATAACATCATCTTAATTTAGAGTGAAATTTGGGCCTTCAAGAAAGATAGAGGCTTAATTAGCAGGTCTAACTAGAAAGGCCATGAAAAAAAAAGGAATCAAAATATTCTCTTTTTAAAACATTATTTAGAAAAATTATCAATTGAGTAGATAATAAGTATCACAAATGACTATATAATCAAGAAAAGATAATGCAAAATATACAGATACACACACGAATATCTAAAAGTAAATTAAAGGGTATTGAAATATAAAATATGTGTGTGTGTGTGTGTAAAATTTAGAAAAGTCGGGATAAGATAAGATATCTTGATTCTTATGTTATCTTGAAATTCATCTAAGAGGTTTTTTTCCCCTAAAAAAATAATAAGATAAGATACGTTAGTTTGAATTTTAAAAATTTTCTTAGTAAGTTAAATATATACTCTCCGGTCCTTAATATAAGACCCATTTAACTAATTTGATTATATTAAAGAAATTAGGTAAGTTAATTATAAGAAATATGACACATTTTCTCTAAAACACCATAATCATCTTTCTTAATACTCTCTCTCCCTTTTCTACTTGATTATGATTGAGAAAATATCCATAAGAGTAATTTTAAAAAAATTAATAAATATGATAAATTAGTCTTATATTTAGGACCAAAACCAACTCAACAATTGAATCTTATATTAAGGACCGGAGGAGTATATGTTAGTTTAAATCTTAAAAGTTATATTAGTAACCTAAACCTAGTCTCAAACTTCTTTCATTCAGTATTTTCTTCTTTCGTTGTGGCCAGACTGCCATTGAAGATTTTAGAGTGACTTTTGTTAGAGCACCAATTAACTCTCTTCTTATTTGTCTCATTTATCGAGACTATCAGTAAGCTTTGTGAAAATCTCAGAATGAAAATTTAGTTAACAATTGATATATAGGAATTTTGGCCTTTATGCAACTGCTCGATGGAACAATTATTTCATCAAAATACTGTATGAGGTAAACTAAATTGTTTAGCCTTTATTATGCTAACAATTTGGTCTATGAATTGTGCAAGATCCATTATGTTGAGAAGTAGTTGTTTAAACTAATTAAATGATAATTAAGATTGACTGACTAATTGTTATTAAGGGAGGATGTTTTGTGATAGTGAAATGATATTTGTGACCACGTGGCCTGACCGCCATATGGAGTTCTATGGTTAGCCACTTTCTTTTGCTGGGGTAGCATCCCTCAGGCTTGCGACACTAGTGGTTCATACCCAGACAACATTCTTGGGGGTAGCATCCCCTACTAGAGGAACTCGTGGCCCCTATGTGCTTTGCCAACTTTGGTCGATCCACATCACACTAGTGGGTAGCAATCAGCCCATGGGTTTACGTCGGCGAGAATAAAGAGGAGATAAGGTTGGAACTAATAATAAACTAGAATGTGAAATTTCATGACTTGTATAAATTGTTATCTTGTTATACCTTGAATTGTTATAATTATAGCTGTATTGTTGGAATAAACACATTGTGATACACTTGAACTGTTGATCTAATCATCTAGCTATCTGCTTGAATAATGAGTTCCACTTGGCCTCTTAAAAGTGATGTTGGTAGGTAAATTGGATGGAAATTGAGTTACTGGGACGTTTTGTTTTACTCTATTACTTTTATCACATTTCAATTGAGAGTAGCAAAGGAGGTATAGCAAGAAAAGTTCCGGAGGCGTGAGGCTACTCTCATGAGTAGTTAGTCTTCCATAATTATTATACTTTGATTTATTGTTAATTACCACTCAAGACATTTAGACTTGTTTCCATTCATTTAGTTACTTGAGGGAATTGCATTTATTATGACTTTATCGTTACTGAATTGGATTGTACTTGATTAATAGGCTTAAAACTATTGGATTTGTTGTTGATGTTATTTTATTTATTTGTGGATCCACAAGAATGTAAACATTTTCATTTAAATAAGTGGAATTTTTCTTTTGAGGTAGTGGCCTGAAGCCACTTTATGAATAGTGAACATGATATAGCTATGTCTATCAAGTGCATATGGTTCTTTCTACAATCATGTTAGGTAAGCAGCATCCCTTCCTAACATGGTTAAGGTAGTAATAAATTATTGTTGAAGGGCAGTATCCTCTTTCTTTCTTAGAGCTTATCTAATTTCTTATTGGTAATTGATGACAGATACCTTTTTAATAACCATGATAGATTAGTGTTTAAATTGTTCTTTTTCTATTATGGTTATTGTTTTAGAAAGAAAATTTCCGGTTTGTTTCATTTATTATTGGCACATCAGAATGATTATGTGTAGGGCTAAGTTCAATGTTTTCAAGGTAGGAGGTTTCATAATTCATTTTTAATAGTTATTTTATTAGTATAAAAATGATAAAATAATAAGAAATAAGAAATCAAATTTAGAATCAACAAAATACAAATCTATATGTAAATTGAGTGAAAATAATAAATTTTTTCTCATTAAAATTAAAAAAAAAAAAAAAGCAGGCTAGCCCGTCATGTGCTGCGGGTTGAAAAGGTTTGTATCCAAACAGTTCTTATTTTTTTCAACCGGACTCAATCCATATTACCGGATTTATTAGAACATAATAATAATTCTTCCTTAATTTAATGAATTTTGTCAATTTTCATAAAATTAATTATTTAATTTTATATTTAAAATTAAATCGAGTGTTAGAAAATGCTTAAATTTTCTATGTATATGAATATAATTCCCTCCCATTCCACGCGGGCTGCGCGGGCTCCTATCTCCACCAATTTAGAACCAGAGTTGCTAATTTGATCTGTTTGAAGGAGAGAGGTCTTAAGAGCTAGGACAGATTCTTGTGAAGCTGTTTCTATTTATTATTTATAAGTTATTTATATCCCAAATTCATAAATTAATAATTAAATTAATACTTTTTTCACATTCACTCTTATTAATGAGATGTTATTAAAAATATGTCTTATATTTTTTTACCTAATTAATTTATCTCTGTCTATATTTATTAAGTCAATAAGAATAAAATTAGAAAAAACTCACTAATAATAACTTATACTTAGAAACAAACTTTTTTTTTTTCAATAACTCACTTATAAATGGAAATAAAATGGCATTATAAGGGGAAAAAAATCCTTTTTTTATTCTGAAAAAGAAGGTTCCCCCAGAGATCAACATGACCTGCCTCAATTTCGTTTGGATGCAAATACATGGAGCAGAAGAACCTTCTTATTGGGATCAAACGAGTGAATGCGTTATTCCACAGAGAGAGAGAGAGAGAGAGAGAGGGTTGAGAGCAGAGCACACTATCAAAGTGGACTTTTACGCCATGTTGATGTTTGTTGACAGTTGTTTGTCCTCTTTTCTATAAATTTTCAGGAGGCAAACAAACAAAGAGAATAGCTATCGTCGCTCTGTTTGTTTGTGATTGGTCATCGGTAAGTTCAGTTTTAACTGAAGTTGACCAAGTCTCCCTAAGCCTAAGCTTATCTCATGGCCGTCAATCACTCCCCACCTTGGAGACGCCACTGTAGACTGAAGAGAGGATAAATATCATTTGGGGTGAGAATCCGATTCGCCAGCTCTTCAATTTTTGAAGAATCTCCATGGATGATGATCAGAGTGTGGATTGGTCTTGTCTTCCGGAGGAACTATGGCTGATGATCGGAAAATGCTTCACCAGTAATATCGACCTTCTCCGATTTCGCTCTATCTGCAAGTCATGGCGTCGTTCCTCTCTTATTCCCCCTCTCGCAGTTCCTCCTATCTTCACCCCAACAATCGCCGCCTCTTCTGGCCAACTCTTACTCACCCCCACAACAATCTACCGTCTCGAACCTTCCGATCTCTCCAAAGCTCTTTCAACTTCTTCTTCCTCCAAAGCCTGGTTGATCAAGGTTGACGAATCCAGCTATCGCCGGCTCTGTCTCTTGGACCCTTGCACAAACAATCGACTCTCCCACTTCCGTTCGTGGTACCCTTTTAACTCTTTCCCTAAGGGGTTGAATCTATTGAACTTTCGATTCGTCGAACTGGTCAAAGCATATTCTATCTCATTAGATGGTTCTGGTTTGACGTTTCGTCGTTTCCATCACGAGATCAGTGGGAAAGTAGTAACGTTCCCCAATTTTGCTGGGACCCAGTTGGAGAATTGCAAGTTCTTTTATGTACATAGGGATGGAAAACTAGGGTTTTCAAAAATTGGGGATGATGAATGGACTCTTGTGGATGATAAGAACTCCTATTACGATGACATAATTGTTCATAAGGGTCAGCTCTATGTAGTAGATAGATGGGGAACCATTTCCTGGATTGACTGTTCTTCTTCTTCCTTAAAGTTGGTTCAATTTTCTCCTCCATTGTGTGGTTTGGGTAAGAAGAAGCATTTGGTAGAATCATGTGGGAGTCTATATGTTGTTGACATGTATGCTGAAGGAGATCCTAACAACTCCAGAGGAACGTACTATGAGGTGGTTGATTTGAAAGTATACAAGCTTGATGAAGAATGGGGTAGATGGTTGGATGTGAAAAGCTTGGATGAGCGTGTGTTTGTTTTGGGTAAAGACTGTAATTTCTCTCTTTCAGCTCGAGACTACCATGGATGTGAAGAGAATTGCATCTACTTCTGTTACAGAGGCTGTGCTTCTATGTTCAACTTAGGAACTTCTACATTTTGCTCTCCCAAGGTCTTCTGGCCTTGCCCAACTCTGTTCAACTATGGTGGATGTGTTTGAGAAAAGTTCTTCGTGAACTCCATTGGTCTTATAGTCTTCCTCCTCAATAAGAACTTTGTTGCAGGGGATCATTTTTCTTGGGGGCTGTAGTTTGGATTCCGGAGAGGAACCGAATGAGGAAAAATGACAATAGGTTCAAGTTAAAAGCTTGGACAATATAGGGCTAAGTGCGTTGGTGATGGTCGCACTTGAAGAGTTTCGTGGATGCATACAAGAATAATAGCATTTAATGCGCAGAAGATATATCATCCTTTTAGACTTTTTATTTGTATCGATTTTAGATTTGTCTGTTTATATATATATATATATATATAATGGTTTGGATGTTAATTTTTTAAATGTTAATGACAATGGTTTTTTAGTGCATCATTGTAATTGTACTCTTATACAATAAAACTAGTCTTTGACCCCATGCATCATATGATTGAAGCCTCGGAACATTATGATGAAAAAAACAACCGAAAGTGTAGTAATGCAAGAAAAGGAAGTCATTCAATTAAATGTGAAAAACTATGATCTTGCATGTTGCTCCTAACATGATTAGGTCATCCTACAAGGGTAAGTGGGTGTTTGGTAATCACAAAAAGTACATTTAAAAGGTTTTTTCACGTAAATTAAGATAAAAATTTTTTCACATATTTAGGGTCTGTTTGAACTAGAGATGGGAAAATTGACTTTTATTTCAATTGATTTTTGTAAACTTAAGTTAGGATAAAGTCAGTTAGTGTAATACTCCTTTCGTTCCTTATTATAAGAGACATTTGATACTTATAGCATGTTCCTATATATAAGAAACACTTAAAAGTTGTCTTTACTTTTTTACGTTGATTTCCTATTTTACCCATATTTATTGTCTCTAACTCACACACTCTCTCCCTCCCACTTCTCTTTCTTTTAATAATTTAATTGTTCTCTCTCATGCTCTCTCTCCTTATTAATGAGGGCATTTTTGAAAAAAAAATATATACTTTTTACACATTGATTGTTCTTAACTAATTTTAACTATTTTTTTAATCAACGTAATTTGGTTATTCGTCTCTTATAATAAGGAACGGAGGGAGTATAATTTATATTTGGATTGACGTTTATAAAAAGTTAGTTTAAAAGGTTGAAACTTGTTTAGATAGATAATGAAAAAGTAAGTTTAGATATAAAATGACTAAAAATGACATAAGTCTTGTTAAATGATTATTTATATAATGTGATAATTCTAAGAAAAATATTAAAATTAAAATTATAAAAATAGTCAATATAAATGTCTCAATCTATTTTGTATATAATATTTATCTATTTTGTCCCCAAATAATTTTTATGGTGATTACACACTAAGGAGTTTTTATTGATGAGTAGTTTCAACACATATGATTAACAATGATATTTTAGGCAAGCATCATCAATTTATTATAAATAACTAATTTCACTAATTTTTTAATATCCCCAAATTAGATATCTAGTTTTTATATTAAGGATAGATAATACTCCTTTAGTCCTATTTATAAGGCAGAGATAAAAGATTTTTCTTAGTCCTATTTATAAGTCACTTCATTTTTTTAGCATGAATTTACTATTTTATTTTTTATTTATTATAGTGTAGATAGTTTTGTCTAAATTTGTATATATTAAATAGGAATAAAATTAAAAAAATTGTTACATTTAATGCAATTTAAGATTTTTTTTAATTTGTATGAAATATATTGAAAGTATTTTATAAATAGAATCAAAGAAATATCAAATTATTAAATTTGTTAAGAATAATTTTGTCCTTTTCTCATTCTCATATTTTCTCTTTCCACGGTGCGTTGGTAAATCTCCTTGGATTTGCTTCAGCATTGAAATGGCATTTTACGCCAAAGCTCATTTGGATAAAAGCTGGCCCAAACGTGTTGAAGGCTTGAAGCCTCCACCTGCCAAGAACGTACGTTTGCCTTCTGAGGCACGTTTTCTGTTGAAAACGTGAATCCAAACACCATGTTATTTGATATATGATAAAATTTCTTTTTAAAATTATGATTTGATTTTCTTCCTAATACCCTTTTTAAGTGTGAATGTATATTAATCGTTTGCATAAAATATAAATGTGTGAGGCTGGTGTATTATTATTTGTTTCCCTCAGTCTCTTGAGTTACTTGTGCGCTATTCTGGCTTGTACTACTTAAAAAAAACCAAACAATTATATAACATTACTTTTTATACTCAATATAAGAGCCAGTGAAGAATTAAATTTGATTTAAATTTAAAATTAAAATTTTATGTATTTTTTTTTTAAATTTATAATTTTTTTTCAAAATATTCTTATCAATCGCACATATCCTAATATTTTTAAATGGATTATTTAACTCTTGTATTGAGCTTCGGAGGTAGCAGTTGCATGGGTTCTAACGTGATCGGGCTAAGAGCACGCTTGTGTTTTTTAGCTCGATAAAGTGACAATAGAGAAGTCGCATGAATGGCTCTATGTGAATAAGAGGCTAAGGGGGTGTTTGGCAATATAAAAACCATAGTTTCAGAAGCACTTTTCTGCAAAACAAAGTAAACTCCTCCACATATTTACTTCGTAAATCGTAAAAGCACTTCTGAAACTATGATTTGGTTTCTATCCAAACACCCCTAAACAAAAGAACTAGGTCTTTGTTTCAATAAACAAGAAAAAAAAAATATAATTGGAAATTATTATCATCGGGAACAAAATGAAAAAGGGGCGGTCAAAATTTTGTAGAATAGTTTGATCTGCAAGTTAAAAATTACGACAAAGTTTTTGGGTGCCATAAAACTGAGGTTTTTATCAAAATACTACACAGTAGAAACTATTTACAGAACTGGCAAAAACTGGTTGTGATGAACTTCCACGATATCTAGTTTTTTAAAATTAAAAAGATGGACTTGTTCCACGCTCTTTCTTTTATTATTAAAAAACTCTTTTTTATTTTTGGAGAATATTACAACTATAGCCTCGATTTCATCAGCACATCCCCATGCCTTTTGAATTTTAAAAGAAATTACAATTAAATGAATTATTTATCCGATTCCTTCGTATCCACTCCTTCCACTTTAATTTTTTTTATTCTATATCTCTTTCTAATTAGGAAAAAAAAACTCAGGTCAAGTACCTTATATTAATTATGTTAAGTTTTTCAATCATATATATCCATGTGTTCTTTTTTGTTTTATATTGATTTATAATTAAATGTTATTTAATGCTAATATTTTAAAAATAGGACACATAGTCATGTGTAATTAGAAAATTTAATATCATAAATATAATAAACTTGATGTAAGTATTGTCATTAGAAAAAAATATGAGTAGATTTTATAAAAAGGTTACTTTCTATTCTGATATTTAAATTTAAAAAAAAATATGTGAATTAAATAAATATAAAATATTTGTAGATACACTTATCTAATATACACACTCCTCTTATTAATAATTTCGAGGGTTACTTGCTTGTAACAAATTCAGAACATTACTTATAATATCTGAAAAAAATTATATTTTTATAAATATAATAGAAGATTATTCATATTTATAAATTCAAAGATTACTAATTTGTTATATTTTATAATTAAAAATGATTGCAAATATATATGTTTATATTTTGAAATGTTGAATTTTGTATCTTTGAAGAGCTCCAAAATTTTATGAGAGAGATCTTCAGATGACATTGCGCTGTGTCCACCACCCTACATTTTCAATTTGAATCGTACATCCGATTCTGCTGTTTCCTTCCTCTTCCCTATTTCGGTATTTCCCATTCTTTGCTTAGGGGTTTTCCTGATCTCAATCATGGCGGAAGACTCCGTACCACCGCCTCCATCTTCATCTTCCTCTTCTGCTCCTCTTGGCTCCTCCGTGATCTCGATAGTCAACAAGCTTCAGGATATCTTCGCTCGGGTCGGGAGCCAGTCCACCATCGATCTTCCCCAAGTCGCCGTTGTTGGCAGCCAGAGTAGTGGCAAGTCCAGTGTCCTCGAGGCTCTTGTCGGCCGCGACTTCTTGCCTAGGGGTAATGATATTTGCACCAGGAGGCCTCTGGTGCTGCAGCTCGTGCAGACTAAGAGGAAGCCCGATGGCACTGAAGAGGAGTACGGGGAGTTCCTCCACTTGCCCGGCAAGAGGTTCTACGATTTCTCCGAGATTCGAAGGGAGATTCAGGTTCATCATCATATGTAAAAGTTGTATACTTTTTTTTTTTTCCCGGTTTGTTTTAGACCGGCGGTGCTAAAATATGAGGTTGCTTCTGTTTAGTCGCTGGGAAATAAATAAGTTTCAGTGTAGGATGTTAGGTGGAACTGAATTTTTTAGCATTACAAGCTACGATTTACTGTTTAGGAGATAGAATTTGTTGTTATTCGATTTGAGAAGTTTGTTCCTTAATGAGTTTAGGTGCTTCCGGACCTGGAGTGTAGTTTGACGCTCTCTTTAAGTTATGATCGTGCGTAGTTTTGTTCATCTTACATTACATCTTACAATTATGAATTATAGTTTGTTCCTCTGGAGTGAAATTGAATTTGCATTGGCTATGATAGTGAGGAAAGAGTTTTTTTCCATCTTCAATGCCAATCGCACAGTCCCCATTTCACGCGTTATGACAGCTCAACATGTTTTGCCCCTTGGTCTGGCTGCATGAAAGTGGAATATGTATAATTTGGTTAGAGACAAGCTTGTGGGGGGGGGGGGGGATACGAAATAGGAGTTTTTCAATTCTTAAGTATCTGGGCTTGTTTTTATAATATTCTTTACTTGATTTCAGACTAGCTATCCCCAGGCCCTAACATATGCACTTAAAAATTTATATTGGAAATCATAATATCCTTATATTCATGGATGAGAAAACTGTGATAGTTTATGCCTCAACTTTATGTTGAAGTAGCTCTCCGGATAATTCATTTTGTTTGATAGTAACTTCTTTTTCTTTTTCTTTTTTTAAAGGCTCAGCTTTCCCTGTGCTGCTTATATAATGGAGCTATTAGATAATCCTATTGTTGCATGACTTTGGACTGAGCTGAAGCCTTGTTTGTGGCTTTCCTATGTGTTTGGTGCAGTTTAACTTTATGGTTTCACTGTGGAATGGAGAAATCCATACCTCAAAATTGTAGATACTGTTATATCTTTCAACCATGATTATCGTCTATATTCCAAGAAAAGGTTAGCTTGAGTGAGATTTATGCTAAACCAAATGTCTAGTCTTGGAATTGACCAGAACTCCGGCTAGGTGTAGACAATTTGATACTGATCATTGCGTGTTCATGGATATCTAGCTGAAAGTTGGTTTCATTAATTTATGGCATCCAATATTCTATCATGTAGTGGTGCCAGTTTATTTTAGAGGTTTAATAATACCCAAGTTAAAGATATACGTTCTTGATTCTTGTTCAATGGGTTTCATGGTTCAGATTATTTGCATGTCATAAC